AAATAATGACACAGAATCCAGGATTAATAAACAATATATTAAGGTATTTAATTTATAACACATTTAATAAATATAATACGTACTCTATAAAAGCAGTTATTTTCCGAACCATATCAGTCGTCTTAGCAGGTTCCGTGTCAGGCTGTCTCAGGTACCGAAGAAGATCATCTTTAAAAGTTTCAGCATCTTCTAAAAATTGATGAAGCAGATTTATTGTAAATCCCATGTCGATAATCCAATACGGGGTCATACGCTTCAAACAATTAGTGGCACATTTGAGAACTTCACGAGGTTGGTTAACATCAATATGCCAACCAACAATAATATCAATGATATCCTGCAAAAAAACACAGAAAGGTGGATAAATTAATTCAAAAGTCTTCATAAATACACTATAAAACTATTTAAGATAGAATATTATTAAAATAAGAAGAATAAAATAGCTAAGATAAGAGTAAGATAGAGGCGAAGTATGACTACTAGTAGCAAGGTAAAGGCAGAAGAATAGTCTCAAATAGAAACTCAAAATATTTACATTTCTTTTATTTAAAATTATCTGATTAAAAATTATATGCCACATTTTGTAATTGGGATCACTTTTTCCTTCAGAATAGTGAGAGCATTAATTTATTAAATACATTTTTAAAGGTAGAATCTTATACAAATACTAACACTTTTTCTATAACAATCAATAAAAAAATATGTTATCATAGATGTAGTTCAAAGATAATAGGAATAAAGATGTTCATGTAATTACACAAAAATAACTCTTAAAAGAGAATCCCTATCCTCGATTTGAATAAAATTAACTCAATGTTTCTATGAACTAACTAAATTACAATTACGGCTTGTTGGTATAAATTTTCATAGACCAGTCACCAACCAATTACTGCACAGACTTTGTACTTCTTCCCTCAAGGACAATTAATAATATTCAAATCTATTTCTAAACTAAGAACAGAAATATAGATAATATATTGTAATTTTATTTATAGGACTTTAAACCTGAAGATAAGGAGAAAATTAGAAATGCATAAAATACAAAGAATAATATTTTAATCTCATTATTAATTAGGCTGTTAAAAAACTGGACTGTTTTGAAGTTAAATGAATAACCTATATTTATTCACAGAGTAAGATGGATAATGAAGATATTTATAGGAAATATCAATGGTTGATCAAAACAAATCATAAACTTTTCAATATCTATTAATAGTTAAATATTATATCAATAATTACTTCAGTTAAACTTAAGACTACTATGTGTCCAGGTTTGCAACTGAGATTTCCAATGTATTGATAAAATCGTATTCCACCACATCAACATAAGATAGTCATTTTTCTTCTTAAAATTGAAAAAACTAACTGTTAATTTTATTTTATTTAGTGAGTAGTACACAATAATCACATTAGGCCTACAGTGTGCCAATAAGCTTTTATACTTAGAATCAGAGTAGCCTCAAAGAAAAAAAAAACAACAACAATTAAATCAATTTCAAGTATATTCACTAGTTTCATGTTAACAATTACCGTATTTGCTAGAATATAGGCCTCATGTCAACCATCCATTTTGAAAATAATTTTTAGAGAAAATAAAGAACAGAATAAGTTAAATTATTGTAAAAAGAACTTAATACCTTGGAAGTAACATTCCTCCAAAACTTAAAATTATTATTTTGATGATATAAGAAAAAACCAATGGAACGACAGACTAATAGATATTTAAATTTTAGAATTTTGAAGTATTGTTACTCCCCTTCCTCCTCTCCCCTCTAAGGTATCGTATATTCTATTGCATAGAACTAATAAGAAATAAACTTCCAGAATTAATATAAATATCTCAGTAAGAATTGAAAATTGAATTCGTAAAACTGAGTTTTTTTAATTTAAAACAATATATGGCTGGCTAGTATATGAAGAAAAAAAAGTTTTAGTCACATGTCCATTTCTGTGAAATGGTGTTTTATTTTAATAATTTTTCAAAAAGTGAAATGATTTAAATAATAACAAAAATAAACTAATTAAATGAAAATTAATCAGTTTCAATTGTTTAAGATTAAAAAAATTTAAACACTTTCTGCTGTCCTATTTTATCATTTACTTCTATCAATTTGTTTTTACTTTACTTACTTAATTAGTTCTTATATTATCAAATTTAAACGAGTATCAGTTTTTCTTCTCTTTCAGTTTTATGTAATCTTGCTTATGTTCTGAACTCACAGCTTAAACATACCATATGCCTTTAATATATTCATCCCTGATCACATTTTATCAAATTTCTTATGGTATTTCCACTCCCGAAAATGTGTGATATTAAGTGTACAAGTAATCACTAACGTGATCCACCACAAGAATAAAAACCAATTAAAATATGAAGTAATTTGATAGCTCTGAAAAGAAATATATCAGACCCCAAATTCAAGTCAAACACTCATTTTATCATTTTTTTATCATCATTTTATTTTATCATCATGATCAATATCTGGCTCAACAAACCATTACTGGGTCTGGGCCGTCTCTAAAAGCTACTGCCAGTTGGTATGGTTCTGGGATGCAGCTGTCCAGTTCCGGATTTGTAGGTCTCTTGCATCCACAGACACTCCATCAAACCATCTTGCCCTAGTTTCCTCTTCTTCTTGTCCTGTGCAGTTTCTCCAACATTAGTAGTTTGGGAATCCTAGAACCATTCGAGAAATATGTCCAGCCCAGCGTAACCTTCCAATCTTAGTAAACTTGACCACGTCCATCTCTTTGTAGAGCTCCGGAAGTTGTTGATTTTTCCTTCTGTGCCATAGATTCCTGTCTGTAACTGGTCTAAAGATTTTACGGAGGATCCTCCGTTCGAATGCAAGTTTTCCTTTGTCTGCCTTTGTGGTATCCCAAACTTCTGAGCCATAGATTAAATCCTTATTTTAAGAAAATTTCAGATGAAACCTCCACTTATGTATAATCAGACAAACACTATAAATTACAGAATTATTCCCATTTTCAAAAAGGAGAATGCAATTTAATAAAATGGAAGTTAAGAAAAATTATACTTTTAAAAAATTATGGTTCCATAATTTATTTTTTAAATTATAGTGTATGATGATTAATATTTTCTGATGTCTTGAAACAATATTAAACATGGGCATTTTTTTAAATAGAGATAAAAAAAGAAAATTAACTTGTTTTGGAGTTCTATTACTCTTTATTATGTTAATTACTGTTTGACTCATATAAAAATTTCTTGACAGTAAAAAGTTACTTGTTAGTTAAGAGCTAATTTATTTGTTTTATTGAAAACCATAATAAAAACAATTTTGAAAGGAAGTTTTAAAACATAATAATTATATTTAATAATTCAAAACTATTTTTTTTATTGCAAAATTTGAGATTAATAGATGTTGAAGAGGAAGATATAAGATTCCTAAAACACAGAATTTGAACATTAATTTGTTTTATTGTGATTAATTCGGGATTATTATTTTAATAAACTTTATTTAAGAAAGGTTAAGCATTGAAACTAATTAAGACATAAATATGTATGATGCAGTGTATGCAAATATATACTACAGATATTATTCAACTTAGTTGAAATGTTATTCCGGAAACAAGATTTCCATTAGAAATAACAAACCAGAATCTACTCAGAAGAAGAAATTAACCATTAAAAGCACTATATCAAGATATCTGTTAAAAGTTCAGCCTAAAAATGAGCTATGAAGAAAAGTAATCATGACGATAATAAATGCTTCCATATCACTAAACAAATTAAAAATTAAAGTAAGTTATTATAATGACGTAGAGATGGTTGACTGTTGATATAATATGAGGAGTTAATCGGGAGGTGCGGTCAAATAAATATTAATTAAAATATAATAATTACTTAATTTTTGCCGACATTTCGACCCACTTAGCAGGTCGTCTTCAGGGCTACTAAAGATACAAAACATGTTGAAAATAAAAAAATGAATATATCTACTTATATTCATTTTTTTATTTTCAACATGTTTTGTATCTTTTGTAGCCCTGAAGACCACCTGCTAAGTGGGTCGAAACGTCGGCAAAAATTAAATAATTACTATATTTTAATTTAGTATTTATTTGACCGCACCCCCAGATTAACTCCTTCTCGTAAGTTATTATAATGTAATGATATATTTTTCAGGAGCTGAAATCAAACAAACCTCATATAGAAGTAGATTTATTTATTATTTAAAAAACAAAATAAAAAACATGATCTATTTTCAAAGTCCATAGCTATAATTGAAAAAACAAGTAACATTCAGAATACATGAAATGAAATTCACATTCATCAGATCGAGCAATCTTTTAAGATAAATAGATTTAATACTTGGAATCCTCATCAAATTTTATACAAATTTGAATACATTAAGACTATAGAAGATGAATACAATATAATATAATTGTATGGAATCATAGCCTTAATTTTCAATATTTTTCATTTCCTTCATAAGTAACTTATATAAAATGCTTGATTTTTCAATGTTACCCAAGTTCATTAGATATATTATACATTAAAAATCAAAAAGGCTATTTGTTAAATTAAAGGTTGAGAACAAATAGTATCAATATATTAAAAAAATCATAACATGAAAAAAATACTCCCATAACCTTGCAAGTAATAAACTGAACATGGACAGCATCAAATGTGAGAAACAAAAAGAGGAAACCTCTCTAGTCTCTGGAAATATCAAGACAAAATGGTCAGATAAAATTTTCTAAACAAAACAATCGTCTAAGAAAAAAATCTTTAAGCAGTCACGTAAGATGTAATGTCAACAAAAAACAAAATTTACATCAAACTATTCATTTTATTACAGGATAATTCTAATAAGGAATAAATTAGTACTTGTACTACCTTACTATTATTAGAAATAATAAACATCCACCATATTCAAATAAATATTATCAACAAGGAACTAATTAAGTTAAAAAAATAAGTTCTCCAGGAAACCAAAAGATCTCCACAGGCAAAATTAGTAGTTCATAATTCTTCAACTGTTAAGACCGATCTTAAATAAAAAAAAAATTTTTACACAATAATACAAATAATGAAGTTTATACAACCTTAAGCCTAGATATAATTGATATAAATTGTTAAAACATAACAAATAAAACTCACAATGTTTGCAAAACAAAAAATCAAATAAAAACTGAAAAAATCTCACACAAAACACACACACATGCAAAGGAAATTCCCAATCTTACGTGAAAAAATTCAGCATTAAAAGTGGATGGATAACGCCCCATGAGAGCTAATGTGAGTTCTGCGGTAACTATAAAAATATCCCCAACATCGGTCCTTTCCATCACACTTCTTATATTGGTTATAAGATGCTATAAGAAAGAAAAAAATAATTAAACAATGCAATTATCTCTATAATAAATTTGAACAAAAAATAATATACAGCATATTAAGTATTTCAATCTATATCTTACCATTTATTGAACATTTCACATCATTTATTTATTTTTATTTTTTTTTATTTTTATAAGAAAAATAATGTTTTGAAGAAGTGAAACACTTTAACAACCTGCAAAAGGAATCCAACTGCCATCAAAATATGTTTTCTTTTCAAAAACCAAAACAATGATGGCCCAGGAACAAATGTAAAACCTAGGTAATATTTAAAACTGAATTGACAGAAATCAGAATATCTGTATCAATTATCCAAATCTAAAGTATTTCCTCCCTCTATTTATCAGCTGTCAATATTAAAATATCTAACTAATAACCATTTACATATAACCTGAAAATAAACCAAAATTTGGATGGTTTCTTCTTAATAATAAAGTGGAACTTCCCTTACTACCGAACATCTGTGTCAACATGATTAAGCATTTTAGAGGCAGCTTCAGGGACCAGGAGAATAAGGCTGTCTTTCGTATTTAAGAAATCTGGGGATGACATTAAAAAAATAACAATGGACTCGGTATTAACTGGTAACAACTTACCTGCTAAAGTTTTACAAAAGAATTAAAAGAAGTTTCAGACCATAATGTATTGCTTTATGCAGATAGCGATTATACTTTACATTTTAAGTGTTTCGTATTTAATTATCCTTTTGGGTTATTTACAACAATGGCGAAAATATTAGTAAAATGGTGCATTTCTAATAATAAAATAAAAATAGCGAAACTGGCCCTCAAGAGATTTTACTTCCTATGTGCAGGAATTATAATAAGTGTTTCGGTGAGAGTTAAAAAGAAACTCATAGCAAAAAAATATTAAGTCATACGAGGAGGATTAATGTCATCATAATAAAAGTCTGGAAATATTAGGAAAAAAACATTAGAAGTATGAAAAGCACCTAACCTTACAATGATCATAGTAACAAAATATATTAGGAGAGACTACAGAACAGCAAAGACTTAATTATATTTAATTACATTTCATTTTTTAAAAATACTCTTTCTACGATAGAATGATCCCTAAACTTTCAAAATAATTCGCAATGTTCACTTCCAAAGAAATTAGATTCCAAATTTTAATAATTTTTTCAATGAATACAAAGAGGTTATAACGTTTAAGCACATGTTTTTTGATCAGTTCTGGTATACTAGATATATTAATTAACTGGCTCAATACATTCCTCAGCCTCATTTCATATTATAATAGAATAATTCTAAGAATAAACAAAGAATGCAATATCGATCGAAACGTTAAATCGATATTTATTTCCTACTCATTTCAATTATACAGGTAAAGGGAACTCAACAATCTTGAAAAAAATACAGCAGTTGGATGAACCAGCAATAAGAAAACAAACTGTAAAGGAGAATGAAACTATGTTCCAGCACATCATAAATCATTTCTCGCTAACTCTTACTGAAACAGATATTTAAAAAATTAAGACATGCACAAGTGACTTAAAAATTGTATTTTCTAAACTTATATACAACTTGATCATTTGTGAAGAAGCATCAAAGAAACCAATGGTTATTTGTGTTACTTTAAAAGAACAAGAAACATTAAGCTGGTTTATTTCAAGCACTATTAAGCACACCATATAAAAAAAAATAAAAATATATCAACCATTTTCACTGAAATTTGAATATTTTTATTACCTGAGCATAATCTTCTAATTTTGGACTTGTACGATCCAAGTAGACAAGCTGCAAAAAAATAAATATTAATAATGAATGCAATCACATTAAGACTAAACAATTTATTGAAACAGAACTAACCTCAAATAAGGACTTCATTAGAAATATTTTATAGGACTCTCTATTTTCAGAAGAATATCTGTTGAAAATCCAATCTAAATACCTAAGACAAATAATAGATACCAAGTTATAAAATGTCATCAATTTTTATTCCATAACTGAAATACAAGTTTTTTACTTTTTAAAATCTCTTTCTAAATTGAAGCCAACGTGGCCTATGCACTTTGATGCCAACAGCTTACAGTTGACAGTCACACCAGTACGAAAGAGATCATATAATGACTCCAAAATCATATCAAGTGACCTGCGAATGTAGGCGGCATTATCTGGCAGGGCCAGAGCATCCTAAAACAAGAGCAAAAATCTATGTACTATATAAATATGCTAAATAGTTACTTGTTTGGAAGTTACTTAATATTTAGCTATTTATAATTAAATATATAACTAGTTAATACATCAACAATTAAGTATCATCAGGACTGAATTCCAGTTATATTATATACTAGGTCATTACAAGATTATATATGCATAAAAGAAGTTTTAATTAAATTCGAGAACAAAATCTAAAATCATTCTTCAAAATATAGACCTTTGTTGTCAATTACTCTAACCTATTTTTCTGACACAAGTTTTCTTTTGATGTGAAACTAATTTAATTGAAAAACTCATATGGTGATTTCAAATTCTCATTTTTAAATTGTATGGAAAAAGCACAGATCATTGAAATGATGCACAATTGAACAGAAAAGAATATACATGCAAGGCTGGATGCTAAGACCCTCCAGCATTATATTACTGAAATATCATTTTATTCTGCTAAGCAGTATTATTTCTCTTTGGTTGTTCACAGAAAAGCTCAGCATAAAAAGCGCTGCCATCTGAACCAGCTCAAAGTTCAAAATGCATAATTCGGCACCATTCACTTCAGACGGATGACCTGATTTAGAGTCATCTTGAACATTGTTGTTTCAAGAAATAAAAATTCTGAACCAAAACACTGCTGTATTACAATGAACCACATATTTAGCTTCCACCCAACAATACTTCCCTACTTGCTGTCTTAGAGGTAGTTCTTTTTTTCATTAGTGCCTCAGAAGATACAAATAACAATTATTTCCTCTGACATTTAAAATATAGATTGGAGGCCAAAGACAGTTTGTAACTGTAAATATATTTCAATAAAGGATTATTAAAAATATTGTTTATTTCTATAACATCTCCGTCAAAACCTAAATACACAACCATGAAAAACTAATTGTTTCTAAATTAATTCAAGCTCATCTTTAACCAAGTCCTTTTTTTTGGGATTTTCCTGGGTCGGGGAATTTAAAATCCCCTCCGGCACCGGGACGCAAACTCGTACTTTTTAATCTCTCATATCTCTAGTTATCTGGTTGCCAGGCAACTCACGGTACTGTGCAGAGGCATCAGCCCATTTAGCCACCCCGCCCCCTTTCAACCAAGTCCTATCAAACATAAAATAGATATACAGTAAATTTCTCTCGTAAACTCACAGATCTTAATTTCAATAAAAATATTACCGTTTTCCTACCCATAGTTTCCTTAGCCTTTATATGGTAAGGTTATTAGAGTTTTTATAAGTATTAACAAAACATTTTATTATTAAGTAGGAAGCAGCAAGAAAGTAGGATGTTTTTGGTACTAATAGTGGTAAATTTGCTTCATGGCACGAGGGATTGGATAACATTAGACAATAGTTAAGATTTTTGATTTAGCGACAACCCTTCTCATTATCTGATGTGATTTTAAAAGATTGAAATATCTCAAAAACTACAAAATTTTCGAAAAAGGATTTACCATTGAAATAGTAGGTTTCCTTAACCTAAATTATCTATACTCTCCTTCCAGATAAATCAATCTACATCCAAATCTTTTTACATCTGTATTCTAACTGCACATTTCCTTAGCCAATCTTTCTTCTTGCATACTTTTAAAAATTCCTAACTAATTTAGGCATTTATACTCTATTTCTTCCAAGATGATTTTCTACTCATTCAATGATGTATATTCTTTAGAACATAATGTTTTTCTTTACTATAACCTTTCTTTCAAGGTTGTAATTATTTACAAATACTTAAGGGCAGTTATTGTATATTATAACTGCTTAAATATATGATTAAATATCACAAATAAATTTCAAACGTTTAGTTCAGGCTAGAAGGGTTCGGCAACCTGGAAGATAACTCAGAGTACCTAAATTAGTTAGAATTAAATAAACAAACAAAAAAATTGAAATAAATATATCGGTAATAAATTAATAGAGCTTTACATAATAAAGAAATAATATAATCTTGTTCCACATATATATAAACACACACACATATACATAATGAAACTATTTTTAGGAAGAATAGATAGAATGAGTAGGACAGGCCATGACAGCAAATCACCATACAATGACCAGTACACTAATACATTCTTAATATAAAATAAAAACCAAAGAAGTAAATAACAAACTGACATTTGCTTAAAAAACATCTAGATAGTTAAGTTAAGTAGGAAATGAAATTTGTTTATTTCTATTTCCAGTTCGGCTATTGCAACAGAATGATATACATTCTGAGTTAAATCTCCTTAATTCTCAAGAAATTGGAAATAATTATACCATTTCCAATGTTGCTGCTTACTATTCATTAAGCTATGTTTCAGTTTGAGACACACCTGCCTGTCTTAGACATCAGTAGAAAGGTCAAATTAAATTTACTCTGCCAACAACCTACATCTAAAATATAATGAAATAATAGGGACTGTAAAAGTTATTGTTTTGTTTTTTGATCTTTAATTGTGTTTTCTTAGAAGAATAAATATTAGAATAATTAATAAACTATGAAAAATATGTAATATAACAAATTTATTTTAAATTTCCTTGACAATCTCGTTCTCCAGAATGTAACATCTCATATACTGTAACATTCACTGATCATCATAACACTTGTAACCTCCTAATATCAACTTGTGTCAACAGCTCAAGCAACTTTTTAAAAAACAACTGTTAATACATAAAATTTTTACCTGCAAATTTTTACCCAGGTTTACAAACTTATTTTCATCATCTTCCCTAGCCAATCGTCGTAAGATTGTTGATATTCGTGAATCTTCTGGTAAAGGAGGGTTAGAACTATGATCTGAAAGGAAAATATTTATTTGAAATAATGTACTGATATGCATACATTTCTAATAAAATTTAAGTACTATAAATATTCGGACGATTAAACAGAAACATTAGCTGGGTCTTTTCCACTAGTTTTAAGTAACACTAACACCAAATCTAGGCAAGACAAATAAAACTTTTTTTTTTGTTCAGTTTCTGATAACCACAACAATCATGATAAACAGCAAGGTAATAGCAGCAATACTCAATAAATTAAATACATTACATTGACAGATGCAATCTAATTAACCACAGTCATTGAGAAGTGCAAGTAACACATTAATTAAACCACTAAATTTAACTTAATATAATAGGTGGTCAAACAAAAGAATACCCTAAACCCTCATCTCATAAATGTAGAAAAAGTGGTTTATGTAAATATCAATAAATCAAAGTTTGCATATATGATGAACTGAAATAAGAATCCTAAACATTTTGTTTTTTTAGATGAAATGTAAAAGACAGATGAAAGGGCTTGTTTAATAGGGAAAAAGTCTATACAAAAAATGTAAACATCACCAAATAAAATTAATTATGTAAAAATAAAATAACTATCCACTTGCCTAAGGAATCATGATATCTGCTGCGGTTGTTATACCCAATATCATCCCTATCTTTCCGAGGTCCTGCACCCCTTCCTCGATATCCTCTCCGATCTTCATATCGACCTCTGCCAACAACATAATCATCTTTAGATCTTGTTCTCGGCTTGATCCTAGGTTCATTCTTTCGACTAATGACAATCCTTGAATAGTGATTCTTTCGCATCAAGTTCTTTCCATCTCCATCCTTGTCACAATCACTTTTGGAAGGCACCTTAGACAAGGATTCTCCCTCATTAGTCTGTTTTGAGCCAGTCTCTTTGATGGCTTTAACAGACTTGAGACTGTCAGACTCGCTGTTAGTCAACATTACCTTTGCCTAACATCTCTAGTTAAAGTAAAAACCAAATATTTTGTCAATTTCACGATAACCACATTGCCAGACGGGAATATGATCCCAACACTTTCAGTTTTTCAATTAACAATCGTTATGTACTGTTGAACAACAAGAAGAAGTCATAAATCCAAGAAAAAACAGACTCACTACCAACACTGATGAGGTACACACACGGTCCACACGATAAACGACGACCATTTTTGAATCTATGCCACCCTAATCACCTGTTACTTGGCTCTTCCCGCCGAAGATATAAATTTTATTTTTTATGATAATAATACGAAATAAAGCATATAAATTAACATTTAGTACAATTGGCCATAATATTTTAATATAATTCAACAATGACTGTCTGCCAAATATTAAATCATCCGGTCATAAATTTATCCATAAATTTTGAATTGAACATTAGGGATCCGATTTAATATATTAAATTACAAAGCAAGCAGTCCGTTTTGTTATATATTATATTCTAAGAGCTGTAAGAGATCTATTAATATAAGCTTACAATAGTTACTTAGAGGTTTATATTACTTTTATAATAAACAAACATATCGACTATGTAAAGTTGTCAACTTTTTTCTATACGATTTGATATAAAGTCATTGAAAAACATCTAGTCCAAAACAACAGTATGTTAAAAAATATAGACCTATTAGTAAGAATAATATGATTAATATTAGCAATAATAGTTATTCATTAATTATTAACACTATAAAAAATGTATCATACAACCGTTAATGTTTGTGAATTACGTTACCTGATGTGATGAATAAGAAAAATGATCAACAATTTGGAAAAGAAAAAGTTGCGATAATGTGAAACTAGCAACTCCTAAAATTAAAGTTCGCCAGTGCAAAGAACTTTATGATTTTAAGGTTAATTTTTTTGTTTCATGCATTTAAAGCAATGTGATTAGTAGGTGTCAATTATCATCTTCTAAACTATTATGCTTCTTTATTTATTTTTTATTATTTAGAGATATTTGATGTTTTTTTTTTCAACATTTTTATTGTTTATTTCATAAAAATATTATCATTGCGTTACAGAAACACAACTGACATTAAATTAAAATTGTTTACTTAGATACTTTCATGTTTCCATTGTAATCAATCTTTAAAAGAATTAATTAATGCTTCTTTTACACCGGTATTGACAACATTATAGCCTACAAACATTGACAATTTTAAGACCAATCCCAGAGCAAGGTTGTAAACCACTATTCCGTGTTGCCAACAATTTTCACAGTCGGTTTGGTAAATGTCAAAGAACGTTGTGAACATTTATTGGCAACTATGTTGAAGGTCTTCTGTAACTGAAGAACCTGATGGCAACAATCCCCACCACCACAACTTCCTATGCTGCTCTGGTACCTCTTCCGCTCTTGGTATCCCACCCGCTTCTGGTGCCTCCTGGGGTTGCTACTGGATCTTTAATATAATATCTACACCACTTAATTTTTAGTAATTGCATTGCTACATGATATCATATGATAAAGAAATATGACCTCATTTTTTGACTGAACACCCCAACTATTCTTCTCTTCATTATCCACGACAGTCAACTAATTACCAATTATGATAAAGAAATATCTATCAAATTATTGAAATATTCATTTTAAAATTACAATATAGTTACTCAGGAAGTCAAAAATCCAAGATTTCATCTCGTATTCTGCATAAAAGATCGACATCTCAATATTTATGCCTCCATACGAAATCGTTTAAAATGAGTCCTCCATTAATGTGTGTCCCACGCTTCTTTCTCTTCTGTCTTTTTACTTAGACCCACATGAATTCCACCATCATTTTGCATTATACACATGTCCCATAACTAACAAAGTTCTTTGAGTGATTGACATTTAATGTCTGTAGTCAGTTACTATCATAGTTTAGGTTCCTTGTCTTGACTCCCACAGGATAGAAATACTAATATTTCCAGCCAGGGGTGCCCATCCCCCTAAAACCGACGGCGCATGGCCGTCACTTATATAATTAATATATATCTAAATGAGATGCACTAGCGGATCCAGGATTTAGTTTTGGGGGGCCTCAGCCCGAAAGCGTTTTTTTTCATAAAAATAACGATAATTACTTTGGAAAATATGAAAGATACTAACTACCTGTATGAAATGATGTTTAAGTGATTCCTAAGGCCCCTTTAAATGTAGTTACACAAACAATGATACTTTAAGAGATACTTTTTAAAAAAAAATTTCGATAAAACATGGCTATATTTTATCATTTTGGGGGGGGGCTTCAGCCCGAAAGCCCTCCCCCCCCCGTAGATCCGCCCGTGATGAGATGTAATATCAATGATAGTTCAAAGGATAATAAGTGGGCGGGGTGGCCGAATGGGCTAACGCGTGTGCACTGCACCGCCGTTGCCCGGCAACCTGATACATAAACCTTGATAAAAAAATAGTCACGAGTTCGCGTCCCGGTGCCCGGAGGAGTTTTTAAATCCCCGACCACACTCCCTGGCCCGGGAAAACCCCCGTATAGCCTTAAAGGCGAGGAAAGGTAGGATAAAAGAAAAGAAAAAAAAAAAAAGTTCAAAGGATAATAGATACAATTGGTTTGTTTCTCGAGAATATTAAAGGCACAATACATTAGAGAATTACAATCAACAAGTAGCATCAGTCATATTTTTAGAGAAGGCAACGACTCCCTCCCTCTACTCTTCTCTGCCTCCAGGTATTCATTATTATTTTGTTTTAAAATATTTGTTCGTTTTAAATAAGTATTTCATTTTAAATAATTGCGAGAGCGTTGTCAAAATGGGATATATAATTTTAAAATGGAGAGAGGCAATAACTTTGAGGATGGATAAATTAGTCTTTATTTCCTAATTAGTTTCTTTTAGAGTGTTGAAACGATCTGTCACTGATGATAATATTTCATAAGTTTTTATTTGTTACTAATTTATTTTAAGTTTGTTTCCGTGCTCTATGGCCAAAGACAAGGCATTAGTTCAATTTATTATATACATACAATAAAGGTACAGCATACCGATATTTCAAACAAGTGACACCTTTTGAGTTAATGCTGAAACTGCAAATACGGAAGACAATGCCCTGCTTGTGTTGAGTATTTAGCTAAAGTCATATCTACCGTTCTTCCAGGTGTGCGACTTCCATAGATATTTTTTTATATACACGCAAGCTTCAGAGTGCCTTTTTTTCCTGGTTTAAATGTTCTCTTAAAATTGAAAACTTAATGTGGCCCCCTCCTAAAAATTCTGATAGCGCAACTTGCGCCATAAATCCCCCCTCTGGGCACCCCTGCTTCCCCTCAAAATTTAGGACTGATCAGAGATGCCCAGAAGGGTGTTTTATGACGCTAGATGCGCCATCAAAAGTTTTGAAGGAAGCATGTTTTGACGGTTTTTGAATTTTAGGGGAGAGAAAATTTCGACGGTGTTATGAATTTTCGGACTAAAGTAGGAGGGGAAAACATGGAACAGGTCTTTGCAGGTGTGATTGCATACGATCTACGATTTTTCTAATTCTATCTTAGTTTGCTCTGTTTTTAAGAAAAGTGAGCAATAAAATAACTTGGGAGGAGGGGGCAGGGTAAGTTCTTGCGCCATGGACATGGGCAACCCTGTGACTGATTGAACTCTAGCAGTGTCTCTGCTCTCTTATAAGGCACTGCTTAAAAGAAGCTTTTTTTTTACAGAAAATTCGATCGAAAACCCACTCACTACCGAAAATAAGTATGTCCAATCTTATATTTTCGACAAGAGAAGCATGTCTCATTAATTTTCAGAGTGAATAATTCTCATCAAATGAGGTTTGGATTCCTAGCAAATTAGCAACACATCCCGTGGATAATTTTTACTAAAGGTACCATTAATTGGGATCATATTTAATTTATTTATATTCATTTAACCATGAACATATAAATATAGTGGCTATATTAATTTCAATTTCATATTGTTGAACCACGTCACAGAGAAAATTCCTAAAAATTCTCAACAATTTCTGTTTAAAAATGTCTATACGTCTACCGTATCATAAAATGTCATTGTGTCTTTTCTTGCAGCATACTTTCCATGCAGAATATGTTTAGATATTAAAAAGGAACGGGCACTTAAGTATTTCATCTTTCGATTTTTCATACAGCTCAAATCACTAGCGGATCCAGGATTGAATTTTGGGGGAGGGCTTCAGCCCGAAGGATTTTTATTTCATATATATATATATAACGATAATTAATTTGAAAAAAAAGAAGAAAGAAACTAATTACCCATGTGACATATGGTGTCTTAGTGATTCTTGAAGTCCTATTAAATGTAATTACACGAACAACAATAGTTTAAGAGATAGTTCTTAATATTTTTCTATAAAACATGGTAATATTTTACAATTTTGGGGGAGGGGGGCTTCAGCCCTAAAGCCATTTCATATTTCAAATTTATGGTTGGAGTATTTATAAACATATGATTATTGAATCTCATGAAGTTGTCAATACTATGTATCAATATAGTTAATTCAAATGTAACTGGTGTACCTATTCTATAAAAGACTTATTCCTTCAGGCCCGAAAGACAAAAGGGCCTATTATATCTGGGTTATTATAGTTTTTGTAGTCAGTATAGTTTTTGAGAAGTCTGCGGCTGCTAGTCCCCAACTGCCATAGAAGTATTTCTATTTCGAGAAATTTGTTTTCAACTTCAGAAATATTTCTAATTTTTTCATTCATAGTTAACGATACAATTAATTTATATAATAAATTTCTAATGACGTCTAACTATGAGGGGTTCATTGTTCAAAAAAACAGAAATGAACATTAGAGGCTGTCATTTTGAAAATTTGGTATTTAAGCTCTGTGGGACTATTTTGTTATAACTGCTGATTTTTTGGAGGAACTTGGTATGGAACGGAGCCATCTGCTGAGTATGGCAGAATCTATTATTTTAGACTCATTTGTTATCCTACACCACCACTATATTACCACTGTATTAATTCTGGGTACTTTGCTGTGGACTCAGCGGAGAGAGAAGAAAATGAGAAGAAAGTTGTAGCAGTGATTGGATAAATTGAAAAATTAGGAACATTGGATGATGGTCCCGTAATAATTTATTCTATGTGTTCTCTTTTATTAAATGGTATCGATTATGACTGATTAATATGCTGAGTGATTTAGCAACTCTAACACAGTGGAGCAGCCATACAATTTTATTGTGCTTTTCTCTTTTAATTAATAACCTAATTTATTACGTCACGAGTAACCTCTACATCGTTGGTTTATTGTAAAAATCTGGTGCGGTGCGCGCATAACATAACTTCCACCATCCTCTGCTTATTCATTGATTTCATTATGGGTATTTTTATTTTTATAAGTACCCTTATATATACAAATTTTAATATTTATATCGCTGTAATCTATACAATTAATTATTAAATAATACGAACTGTAGTATTTATAAAAATCGCATATGTATATTTACATAATATTGTCGGAGTCATTATATTAAGCTCACGTTATGTGTGGAAGTATTCTTTTAGTTTCTCAATTACAAATAATCTCCGTTACGATCTCATATTTTATATTTAACTATCTTTTATATTAGAGATTAATGTGAAATGGTTTCAAATAAAAAAAATTAAAGGTACTTTAGGGGAAGCTAATATTGGAAATTAGCCATTTAAACCCTGTTTGAAAACATCAATCAGTATAAAAACTACATTTTATTTAAAACTGCTTAATTTTACACTGATATGACAAATTTAATCAAAATCGTTAGAGCCGTTTTCGAGAAAATCGCAAAAATGTGTTAAGTCTATTGCTGTAACATCCTTAGCAAATAAAAACCTCAAATATGCAATTTCACTTACCTAAGACTTTTCTTTTTTGGTCTAGACTTAAAACACACACAGACCATTTTGCGGGACTTGTATTTCAACGTGTATTTCCGTTGAAAAATGAGATTCAAAAATTTTCAGGATAGCAATTCTTTCCCTTACTATATATTTCATATATAGTTAAGTTAAAGTAAAAAGTAGCAGTGTACACTTTTGATGGAGCTAGACTTTCAAGTAATAACATATTTGTGAATTTCAATAATATTTATCAATGAAAAAACTCATTAAGATTATCACAATAACACTAACCCTAAGATGTATGTTAAAAATAGTCACACAATGTCTTAATTTCAAGGAAAGAAAATTCACATAATCACTTGTTTTAATTTAATCTATCTTTATCTTATAATACAATAGTTTTTCGGTAATGATCCCTTTACCAGCTCTCAAGAGTGATAGATTTTTATGAATGAGGTATCAAACCAAAGAGTATTAAATGGAATTGGCAAATCATAGTAACATCCACCTGAGATTTCAAGGAAAAAGTTATGAATGAAAAGAAACTTTATTTCTGAATAACCAAAAAAATATACATTTTTTCTTGATTGGATCCATAATTTGAAAATTTACTAAATTCTCTAAAAAAAAAAAAAAAAAAAAAAAATCGTAAAAATTGGACCATTATTAACATAGATATAGTCCATCCAGATTTGATATACATAATAATTTCTCCCTCTTCGAAGAAACCATATTTAATATTTTACTACCATTTTTTTCCTTTCTGATATATATTTTGTTATTTTTTTAAGGCATTTTTTTGTTGGCATATTCTATATTTTTTAAAAATTCATAAAATCTACTGATTGAGGCCTTTTTTAATATGAAAGATAATATTCAGCATATATAAATAGGCCCTAGAAAAAAAATGTTTACAAATATCGGAATAGTACAATTAAATGAACAGTTGTATAATTTGTAAAATGAAGGTTGGTCTGCAATTAGGCGGACAGGGGGTACCTCTTTAGTTTTTTATATTGCTAATTAACGAATTTTTGTAATAAGCCGACGCTATTTCTTAGGTAGATTGTCCCACAAGTTCTTTCCCTTTTCTTTATTTGTTGTTTAAGGTTGATTTAATGTGTTATATATGAACCATTCTGCTCCACTACCTTCTTCCATCTCTCAGGAAGTCTCTTATATCTTTTTCCAAAATTTTTGAGTCTTACTGTTTCGGTATGGACAATACCGCTTGCTGCATTGGCCACAAGACAGAAACAATTACAGTTTGATTTGGACTTTCTACCTCATCCTCCAAACTCCCCAGACCTTGTCTCATCCAATTGACTTATTTTTCTCTTTAAAAAATTTCCTCCATGATAAATGTCGAAAATCTGAAAGCAAAATAAAAACGCATCTCGGTGAATATTTTGCAAAGCCCAACGATTTTGGAAAAAGAGAATAAGAAACTTCCTGAAAGATGGAAGAAGGTAATTGAGCAGAATGGTTCATATATAACGCAGTAAATCAATCTTAAACAACAAATAAAAAAAAGGAAAAAAACTTATGGCCAGAGATACCCATCCTCCCAAAGTCAATTTACCACTCCTCTTCTCCAAGATATTTTATTGCTCACTTTTCTTAAAAACAGAGCAAGCGAAGGTAGAATGAGAAAAATCCTAGATTATAAACAATTACACTTGCTACAGTATGTTCCATGTTTTCCTTTTGTTGCTTAGTCTGAAACTTTTCATTCCGAAAATCATAATCCGTCAAAGGGTGGTCCCTCAAAAATTCATCAAAATCTGCCTCCCTAAGAAATTATGATGGCACTACTTGCTTCATGAAACTCCCTTCTGGGCATCCCTGATAATGATGGCTGCTGGATTGGGATATTTTCTCCTAGATTTAGTTGTTATTTTACTATTTGAAATTTTATTAGTTTTTTTTCCTAAGGGTGAAAAATAATATTTTGAGGTATTTATGTTATTTTTTTTTTTAAATATCTATTGCTAAATACATTTAACAATTTTATTTGATTAGAAAATAAACATTCAAATGAGTAGAAAAAATAATTTTAATTGATTAATTGATTTAATAAAGTGTAGTGGCGGATCAATGGAAAAACAATATTTTTGTTCATTGGTCTGGATTGGGATATTTTTTCCTAGATTTAGTTGTTATTTTACTATTTGAAGTTTTATTAGTTTTTTTTCCTAAGGGTGAAAGATAATATTTTGAGGTATTTTTGTTATTTTTTTTTTTAAATATCTATTGCTAAATACATTTACCAATTTTATTTGATTAGAAAATAAACATTCAAATGAGTAGAAAAAAATAATTTTCATTAATTAATTGATTTAATAAAGTGTAGTGGCGGATCAATGGAAAAACAATATTTTTGTTCATTGTTCAGTAATTGTTTCTGAGGGTGTTGTGGGGTGAATACTGAAAAAATGACATGTTTTCATTAAATTAAATTATAAAGCATATACAGTTAGTTATAAGAGTCACATAGTAGAAAAAAAACTATCCCTAAAAGAATTATTATTTCTGTAATTACCAATTTGTTTTTTTAACAACCATTCAAGGATCACTTAAACATCATTTCAGATAGTTAATTTTTTTTCCTCTTGACTAATTACCCATTATAGGAAAAAAAAATAATGCTGCTTCCAAAATTAAATCCTGAATCCACTACTTGTGCTTGGTAATAACCGAATAAAACAATGCTCCTACTTTCAGTTGTACAAGTACCCTTCATTGTAGCGTCATCTCTTTTTCTTTATGTTTATGTCTGATTCATCTGTTTTAAGTTTGTTTGTTACCATTAATTTGCTCTGATCTTTCAACAAGTATAATTAATTTAATATATTAAATATTATCAATAATATTTAATTTATATAAAGTTTTAAAATAAAATCTAACAATTTTTTTTTTTATTATCCTCATCTTGTTCTATTAATATTTATGATCTTTATATGATGATAATATTTCTGTTGCATACATTACATTTAACATTTGACCAGTGCCCGATAAACTTTGTCCCTGAGGCACTTGTTTTCTTTTCACAGCACTGGGACTATTCGGTTAATTTTGGTTACAATAGAAAAATACTCGAAAAAAAAAATCCTGAAACAAGTACTCATAAAACAATGAGAAGTAGCTCAGGACATCCACACCTTGTTTGTCAATTTAAAGCAGCCTATGATTCTGTAGACAAGAACTGTCTTTGGAGAACCATGACTGAACTGGGAGTTCCCGGTAAGTTAGTAAGATTGACAAATGTGTGTACAAATAACCCTAAATGTCGAGTCCTAATACCAGGAGAAGTATCTGAAGCCTTCAAAGTTTGAACTGGCTTACGAAAGGAAGCATGAACTATCGCCAATGTTTTTCAACTTAGTGCTGGAGAAGGTGAAAAGAGCATAGCACAAAAATGGAGGGGTACAAGTCGGAGTGAATTATAAAATCTTGGATATACAGATGATAGAGCTGTCCTTGGAAGCAATCATTAGAACACTGATAAACTTGCTAAGACTCGAATAAGAGAAGCAGAACAAATTGGCCAAAAAATAAATAAGACAAAACAAAATACATGACAACAAGCCGAAAATTCTATCCCAGTAAAAGGATCAGGAAAATCGTTCTCGAGAGTAAATAAATTTAAATACTTCGGGTCTACAATAACCTCTATCAATGACCAACTGCTGGAAATAGATCAGCATATAACAAGTACGAACAGACTTTTCTTCTCCCTTTCAAAGGTATTGAAATCCCCAAAAAATCGTTGTGCAAATGGTATGATAAAGCAAGTATTAATATATGGCTGTGCGGCGTGGAAACTAAACAGTGCCCTAGAAAAAAGTATTGGAAGATTTGAGAGATAAAAATCCTATGCACGATTACCGAGCGATCTAGGATCAGAGTACTAAAACATGGATATGAAAACCAATAAAGAGCTGCTTACAGAAACTGGTCAATCAATATCTCATGATATAAGGGCATGGACGTTAAGATAGATGGGGCATATAGCACAAACGAATCCATATAGAAGCCTCTACACAACAATGAATGCATCAGTAGTAGGCAAAAGTACATGTAGAAGATCAAAAAGTAGATGGATAGATTGAATCAACTAGATACAATAGAACTGAATGCAGATAACTGGCAAGAAATAGCCCAAGATAGGCAGAGATGGAGTAGGCTTGTTGAGGCAGCAAAAGATCTACAAAGTCTGTAAGGAAACAGAAAAAAAAAGTACACACACATATATATATATATATATATATATAGATATAGAAAGATAAATAGAAAAGTTTTTTTTTTTTTTTTATTATTTCAATGGAATTTACAACTGTATTACATAGAGAATACAATAAGTAAATGAGAAATTTGTAACATGGCATGTACAACATGAAGAGAAACTACCCATTGGTAGAACTCAAAAATAGAAAAGTAAAAATGAAACATTTAGAGGACAATTTAGAATTTTTTAAGGGAAAATTCACAGCTGATCTGGCAACTAGGGATGCCAGTTATTGTTAAATAGCTGGTTGTCAGTTAGCCTCTAGTTAAAATAAGTTGTAATTGAACCAACAATTTGTTGAGTTAAATTTCTGTTCCTTACTTCTGATAAGTTTGAAGTAATATGTAAATTTGAGTTACAGACAAATCGACAATTAATGATTTCAGCAATGCTAGTAGAACCCAATATTTAGAGATTAATTGGAAATTTATTATTTAGCTAAATAAGCATTCTATAATGAATAGAGACAATAGAGACTACTACTTAGAAAAAGAAAAAAAAAAAGATTATAGAATCAAGTATCAAAATGAGAAGAAATGATTTTTAGAATACTTCAAGTTATGTAATATAAGAACAAAGACCAGGATCTGAATTCTTTATTTTGAGTCAAAGATAATTTTCTTCACATTAATTAGAAGCTGATATAGTTTTATATCATTTCAACAACTTAATCATCTTAATAATAACACTGAATCAGTCTATTTTTATAAATCTAGATTATTGAAGAATTATTTATATTATTCTTTTAGAAAATTGTTTGGCTAAACAAAAATTTAGCAGACCTTAAACTTGATTGTATAACTTTGTGATATCAGGAATGAAATAATATAATTTAAAATTTAGGAAAATTTAATTTTTTTCATGTTTACATAGTTCATACAATAAAAATGTACAAATTCTAATTTAAAACCAAATATACTATCTTATTCGTGTTAACTTAAATTTATTGTATAGATATAAAAATTAGCATACGTAAATCAGTCTTTAACATTTCATAAATTCAAGATGATATGACAACAATAAACGAAACTATTGAAACTCCTAGAGTAATAACTAAGAGAATAGAACAAGAGAAAAATGTTGAAATTTATAAACCATAATTTAAATATATTTAATGGTTATTACTATTTACTTGGAATTAACTTGTGTAACCAACTTATCTTTAAATAATAATAATAACAGATACTGAGATTGAACTTCTTGAATAACATATGCTTATAAATAAGACTAGTCATATTAAATATAAAACATTATAAAATGTATTAGTATTACAAATAGGTATACCATACTCATTACTATGTATATGTACATACATACATTTATATCAATAAACAATTAAATTAAAGCCTAATAAAAACATTTGTACTATAAAGGGAATATAAAATTTTACATACATACTATACATCTATTATATACATTTTAAGATAATTGATTATTTACAAAAAGTGTAATAAATAAATGTTAATATCTGCAGCAAAGGGGCTGTAAAATCTTCCAATATGGAATAAAATAAATTTCATTAATTACAGTCAAACAATATTTACATACAATAGTCAACAGAACAATATAAATTTATTTATAAAAATAACTAAATAGAGAGCTACAAGGGAAAGAGATCAATAATCGATAAAAAATAAATAAATGTTATACACTGGTCTCTTTCTTATCCTCATCTGAAGATTTAATATCAACATAGGTCGGTTCTTGCATTTTTAAATGAACAATTTCATTTTTGTAATTCATTGGCACCTGAGGATTATATTTGCGGGAAGGGTAAGGCGAAATATCAGGAGCAACTGTAGCATATAAATGAGAACTACGACTTGAATGGTCTGAAGTCAAATCTCTCGCACAATCGGTAACAGAATGAGCTTCGGATACCAAGCATGAACAACAATCTGACCCGACTGAAGCATACTTGACTGAACTATCACCTCTCTCTGCTCCAATCACCAACCTCTCTAAGGGCCTACCTCCATGGAGAATGTTAACATTCGCTGATTGTGGGGATGGGATCTCAACATGGATATTAGTATTGTTGACTTTTGAGCCTAAAAGAAATAATTCTGCATTATCTTGGGATATTGGTGTAGCACCATCACCACTTCTTCTTGTCCCTAAATTATTTTGTTTCCTTCTTTGCTTTTTGAAAAACTTACGGGCTACTATACTTTGATGGGGATTATAAAAAGTATTTGGTTCATTAATAACATTATTATGATATTGCCTACGATGTAAATCTATTAAATTTGTTTTTTGGGAAGCCTCTCCTTGAGGTTCAGGTCGAGGACTAATAGATTTTCTTCCTACGCTGGAACTAATACTGTTTCTTGGATTCATTATCGGTGGTGTAACATGCTGAAGATCAGTAATATTTCGAGATCTCTTAATATGCTTGAGGGTGAACCAAACAGAGCGGACATCACTTCTTGAGAAGCAGTAAAAGAAAATCACAAATGCGCCTAAGACAATAATAAAGAGAGCATACACGATGCTTAACAACGTTTCTTCATATGGGAAATTGAAAGGCTGAATAACCGATAATGTGGCCAAAGCCCACACCATTGTAAATAAAGCTATTACAATCAAAAATGCTTTTAATTGAACATAAGGGGGGTGTTCTAAATCCTCGATATGGCTACTTGGCGTAGCAATACTGTGTAAGCTCGCATGCTCAGCTGGACTCGCAACAGTTTCTAAAAGTTCCAGATCAGTAGCCTGTGTTCCTTCAGACAGTTGGGCATTAGAATCTTTCTCAACTGCAGCTGATCGCACCTGCAAATAATCTTCAGTTAAATGGAGAAAAAAGAATAAAACTATTAATATTACAACTAACAGATTTGTACTTTATAAATTATCCTAATAAAACAATTTTTATATAACTTTAAAGTTATAAAATTTATAGTTTTTACAATATTGAAGTTAAAAGCCCATCAAATAACCATAGGAAATTCGTTATGAGTAGTAGTTATATTTTTAATATGTAATATAGCTATATATTATTATGGAGACAACAATAAAAAAAGAAGCTCTTAATAAATTTATTCTTTACACTTAGGTAGTCGATTAACTGTATCCTTCTCACCGATTCACTAGGTTTCAAGGGTAGTGAAAAGTACAAGTACACACCACACTCAATGTTGCCTCGCTATTGCAATCTCCTAATCCCACTTGAACATTCAGGCAGTTTCAAACTCCTAGTTAAATGAGTATGGTGTTTCCTACTTTGTGACCCTTATCCCAAAAAAGATTTCTAAACTTTAAGGTACAAATTACTGTTAAGTTTTCCTTGTAGAAATTTTTTTTGTACGTTAAAACTTCTTTAGGCACATTTTGCACTTTTTTTGTGGAGAGTGAATTAGATTGAGCTGTCAGATTTCTGAAGTGTGACACTCGGGTAAAGTCAGCTGGAGTCGACTAATTGAAGTGTTTTTGTATATGGATTAAAATACCTCAGAAAATAAAAATCGGACCTGAATACTGTAAGCAAGGGAAATGTTAAGCATTTCATCCTGTTTGTAATGAGTTATTATTGAAAATTGTATATTAATGTGAGGCCATATTAGAGAGGCAAAAAGGAAAAATATAGTGTCAACAACCAAAACATACTAAATATTGTCATATTAAATATGACGAATCATACTGTAGTAAAGAGAATATACGATCATCATATATTTTAGTTATCATAAATCTATTGTTTCATTTTTAGATTATGAGACTGATTTAGTAAGATCAGTAGGAGCAAAGTTTACTAGAGTAATTTAAACACAATCATAATTGTATATATTTTAAATGTTATAACTTTTTGAATTTTTTTTCTTTTTCTGATGGTATCACAAACCATGTAGATATTTTGACCTCTTAACAAGCCTGCTCTATCTCTGAATGTCTTGGGCTATTTCTTTCCATATATCTGCATGCAGCTCTATTGCGTCTTTGTTGATTCTACCTATCCAACTGCTTTTTGGTCTTCCAAATGGTCCTTATGCCTTATATTGAGGCATTCATTGTTATGTAGAGGTTTCCAAATGGATTACTACAAGCTACATGCCCCACCCATCTTAATCTCCGTGCTTTCATATCATGAGATATTGATTGACTTGTTTCTGTAAGCAGTTCTTTATTGATCTTTATTCTTAATATTCTGATCCCAGATCGCTCCAGTTATCATGCGAAGGATTTTTCTTTCATATCTTTCAACACTTTTTTCTAGGATGCTGGTTAGTGTCCAAGTCCAACAGCCATATATTAGAACTGGCTTTATCATAGCATTGTACACCCTTAATTTGATATCTCTTGAGATTTTTCGGGATTTCAAATTATTTTTTGAATATAAAACAAAAAAAAATTTATACTTCATATTATTAAGCCCGCCTTGATGTTTTCACTTTTACTGTGTGATCTTAAGTATACAAAATAGATTTTTTTAATTGCGACCAAGATGCCTAAAGCATAAATATAAATTTATATCACAAATTATCAATCTAAAATACAAATATATATATATATATATATATATATATATATATATATATATATATATATATATATATATATACATATATATATTCCAATATCATAAATAAATTTACCATCAAAGCTCTTGTAAATATAAAAACTGCAATAGCTCCGACAGGTACAATGACAGGTGTAAACCCAGGACCTGGGCCGAGAGAACAATAATGAGGATTCGCATAACCTGATGGATTAACTGCACCTGAAAGACCAACAAGAAGTCCAGGAATACCCCATCCAACCAAGTATAAACCTAAGGCTGGATGAGGTGTTGGTGGAGCATTTTCTTCTGGAACCACTTCAGGTTTGGAACCAACGCGATGCATACAACTAAAAACAAAAGTAAATAAAAATTGTAATTAAAAAAATTATACTATTAATCCTCTAAGGGTAGATGCATTAATATAAATAAAGAAATAACAAAAATTTCTATTCTATTAGTATTCAACTTTTTAAAAGCTCTTGATTCAGTTAATCATAAGGTCCTCCTTTTCCAACTCCAAAACCTGCCTGTATCAAATATCATAAGTAATGAGGGAGAAGTATTATCAACAGTTATTTATATTAATTTTAATTATAAAATGAAATTGATACTAAGTAATTTATATATTTTTTCTCCAAATTTCCTCCAAGTTCGGGTCAAATCGAATGTGCCGTTTTCAAACAATAGGCATGTCAAATAATACATTTTCTGATCTGAAAATGGATTTTTTTTTTTTTTTTTTTTGGAGTAGTAGAAAGAATTTGATAAAATTGATGCCAATTTAATTATAAGTTTTCAAATCCCTAAATTCTTTCCAAATTGAACTTGCAGTTTCAAAGATATAGACGTATCAAGCAAAACACGTTTGCGCATATATAAGAAAAAGTAATGGACAAAATTCAATAAAATTGACACTACATTATTTGTTCACAAATACCTACCTTTTATTCAACTTTGAGCCAAATCGAACGAGCCATTTCTGAAATATTGGCATATCTAAAAAAATACGCTTGCGCGTTTATAAGTATAAGCGTAGCGGAAGTGCTAGTTGGAATTAGATAAAATTGACCATCACCAACCCAGCACAATCCCTTAAAATTTCATGAAAATCGGATAAACGGTAGTAGGTGATATGCCTGTTACATCGACATAACAAGACAGACAAACAGACACCAAACCAAATTTGAACCTTGATGTCTGAAACCTAAAACGTAAGTGAAAATTTTCGATTCTGAGCAATAATTTTTTTTTTAACCTCTCGCAAGAATACAATGCTTACAAAAAAAAAGAGGATAAAACAAAGTTTAAAATGAAAATGAAATAAATATGCAACAATGACATAAGAAAAGTGTCAACAACAAATGGATAACTGCAAGCTATGAACAAAAAGTATATATAATTAATTTCTTACTTTATAGAGACTGCCATCCAAAATAATGAACATAAGGTTAGGTAATGCAGCATTAATCCTATCGCTTGGCAGAATCTAATACTTTCTGTTTGGTATATTCCAAGGCTAGAAATAAACAAAAACAATATTAATAAATTAATTTCATATTTCATTTCACATTTTGTAGGCTGTGAAAAATATAGGAAGGTCGCTAAGTTCTGAAATATAAAGGTAGCAAGGAAGTACTGACGGAGGTTGGATGGATAGAGCTACTTCAACTCGGAGTAATACTGTGTAATATGCGTACCTCTTGAGATTCCGAAAATAAAACGTACTGAACAATTTATTAGGTGTAATTAATAATAAGAATTTCAGTTTTCAAAACTCATTCAGTCTTAAGAATTTAATAAATTTCTATATATATTTTAAATACAGCCGACTCTCAATAGTTTGAAACTTAAGGGATTACAAGAAAAATTCAAATTATCAAAACTTTGAATTATTAAGAAGTTTGAATTATCAGGAGCAAAAAAAAAAAATCAAATTATTAAGAGTTTTTATTATATTTTTAGAAATATGAATGAGTTTATATAAATTTTATATATATGTAGCCCCATGTAAAAATATTAATGGGAAATTTTTAATTATTAAGAGAGAAGTGGTCTAGTTAGAATAATAGGACGTTCTCTTCCCCTCTAGTTACGAAAAGAATTTCGAAAAAATTTTTTTTGATTTACCAAATTTAAAAAAGCTGAAGTATTTGAATTATTGGAAAAATTCAAATTATCAAGAGTCGACTTTATTGAAATATATACCAAACATATTTTAATCAAAAATATAAGTTAACAAGCCTTTCTCTGGTCAATGAACATCTTTCTATGACACTCCTAATTGTATCCCTCAACCTTGCATGAGATTGATTTAACACACACGTCAGCTGTATTTAGACTTCAAATGTTCCAAGCATCTGTACCGAGATCAATAATTGTCAAGTTCTGCCGTGAATAGCAAAAGCAGTACCCATGCACGATACCTAAGGGAAACTGTACATAATTCTAAACAAAATGAATATAATAAAGTACCTGAAAACAAGAGAGAGAAAAGTTATTGCAAGCCAAGTATTTGCTAAAGCATGCTTCATTCTGCCTGACATCTGAATTGATGAGTAACACACAGCATATGTAAAAGCAGCTACGATCAAACATGTAGATCCGACAAAGGTACCGACAAATATGCCAGGAGGAGAATGCCTCGACTTAGATTGTTCTAATCTGCAATTTAAATAAATAAATATATTAATAAAAATATCCCGTTATTAATAAATACTGTATGTAACCTTATAAATATGTAAACTGAAATCAAAGTAAATTGAATTCCAAAGAGGTATAAGAGTTCTTCAGAATTTATAATGAAAATAAAACATATGAACATGATGCCTTCATGGAGAAAAAAAAAATTAACTTGATTTAAATACTTGGATAAAAAAACAATTAAAATTTCAATATTTATAGTAAATTACCAACATTAATAAGTAAAGAGGCCACTGAAAAAAATAAAATAAAATTTAAAAAGTACAGAAATAAGTATTACGCTAATATCTACTGACTTCCGTAATTAAAAAAAAAATTTAAGGAAATGACGGACTCATAAGGATAAATAAAAGAGTTCCAAAAGCCTCATATTAACATCATCATTTTTCTGTATTTGGATTAGAAATTTATTCAAATTTTTTTTTGCTTGGTTTCAATTTTTAAAGGTATAATAATGTTTATGTTTTAAAATTAATAAAAATAAAAAATAAAAATAGAATTTGATGACGTATCGATGCAAAAAGGAAAGCTACCTGAGATTCTATTATTTCATGAGCTAGTGCAACGATAAATAGCTGTGGAAAACAAACCTATTTAATTGACAAGAGACATTGAAAAAAAAGTGTTCTGAAGTGTTAAAAAAAAAAAAAAATTCAAATAAAAAACCAATGGTACAAGTGCTATTACTCATACTGGTGGGGAGACGTAATCCACCAAGTAGTCCTTTTTGCCAAAACTAGAAAGCTACCAAGAGGTTGCTGACATGTACTTATCAGAATGGGAGTGCCAAGATTCATTTCTCAGGACCGCTGAGAAATAATTATTAACTAACCCAAAAAGGAATCGAAGCCACAATGTAGATGTGGGCACTCCGTGACCTTCACCTCAACATGCTCGGCCATCACATCCTCTGGTACAAGAAGTGACCAGTTACACTTGGTGGATTTTTTTAGTTATATTATTTCTGTTGATTTTATAGATAATGTTAAACTTTAATAATAACGAAAAATTGTTAAGAACTGATTATCAACAACTGCTTAGCACAATTCGCATTGTTCGTCAATTTTTAGAATTCGACCAACATTATTATTTGGACTTAATGATAATAAACAACCATAATAGACAAAATAACAAATAAAAGAGGCATATTTTAATGTGAAAAGTGCAAAAAGACGAGAGCAATTCAGTGAATAAATCCCACGCACACGGGGTTGGCTAGACCTTCAATACCCCGCACACGCTGAACCTGGTCTTGATTCAGGCTCAGTGCAACTAAAGGGATAATAAGGAAAACATTAAATCTTAGGCATCAGCAAATTAACTACATTGATTACTGTCAATGCTGTCACTTTTAATAAGTGTTATAGCATTTGAAAAAAGAACTGTTTCACTGTGTACAAACTGCTGGCATAAAACATTTAAGTCTTAAAAACCGTATTATTATTGAAATCATGTTTTAGACGTCAAATACATCAAATTATTCGCTCTCAAATATATGCCTTTAGAACTAAATTATCAACCTAATTTCAGCTGAATACTATGTCCCCTGATAAACATTTGCACCAGATTATCATTATGTAAAATTAATTACTGTAACAACAAATTTAGACTACTGTTTGGACTTAATGAACCAATTTCTTATTAAGAACTTCCTTTTCTCACCCCTCTCCCCTCACGGTCAATGGTGTCCCGGGTCATCTTATATAGACACCATACACTGATGTCACCAGATAGAAGTTAACATTGAAAGCTAATAATAGCTGTTATTTTTTCGTTACAACTATAGCATCCCATAAGAACATGAAAGAGAAGAAAATAAAATAATTTCACACACTCAATTGACCTAATGAACAGTTGAATTATAAATGACATGTTTGTTTTAATTTCATTACAAAATTTCAAGAGAAGTTGGAAAAATTTAAATGAACGCAAGAATTAATAAAATAAATGGAAATTCAAAAATTTATTTTCGATAACTCGAATCCCACTTTTTTAAGATAGCGATTGGAGGTCATTAGTTCCAATTGAGCACCAAATGAGTTCACCTTCAGTCTGCCATATTCTTGTGGGTCAGCTACAAACAGCCTTAATTAGTTATAATCATTTGAAGGTCACTATTATTTTATATAAACAATAGAATTGTTATTTTAGGCTTGAGGGGATTGATTCAAGATACATTTTAGCCTTAGCACAAACCATGCAATGATTTTTGTTGTTATCTCAGAGAAAATATTATGAAGATTACACTAAAAGTCCTTACATCAACCTAAGTTTTAAGTTGTAAAACAAATATATAAGTAATAAATATATGCAACTAATATCCTATAAAAAAACAAAACAGCAATTTCAAATTAAATATTTTTACAAAGTACTCAAGTATTTTTGGTAAAAGCTTTGCAAACATCAAAAAATCACTATCGAAATGAGTTTTGAATATTTAATAGAAATTTTGAACATCTAGAATAATATATATGATAGAGAAAACACAAAGTGATATTTAATATTGTTTATCTTGCCTTGGATATGATGAAGAATGAATTGATGAAGCAAGGGCAAAGTAACCTAAAGAAGTGCAGTGCAGGACAAGGAGGTCGTGTAATATATCAGCTGGGCGACAAGGTCTAACTGCCCACTGACCTGTTGTTTCACTCCACCAAACCGGTGTCGCTCCTTCTCTTAGTCCTCCGAGCATCACCACAACTGGCTCAGTAAGATCATCCACTTCTAATCCAACTAAAATAGTCAAACAGATTCATATGTAACTAGCAGAAACAAATACAGCCACATTATAACATTTAATAAAACCATAACATCTAGTATATTCTTAGTTAAATAAAAAGTGCAATAATAAAATAAACTCAGTTATCTGTACAATTGTTTAAATTTTAGGTACCTGCAGTTATCAGTCCTGTAGAAAAAGAAGAAATTTGAAAAAATGGCTTCATGAAATTTTTAAAATTTAAAAGAAACATAACCAAAAGAAATGTTGTGAACTAAGAGCAATATTAAAATTATAACTGGTTAGAAGAAATAAAAAAATTACAGATTTTTTATATTTCAACTTCATTAAATTAATTGAAGAAAATAAAAATAAAAATCTAGTGTGTATATCACAGAACTTTCACCTGTACAATTACGATCACAATTTATTACTGCATAAATTTTATATACTGGTGAATGAAATTTAAAGGTATAATGAATGAATGATAATTAGACTGCAATAATACTTGATGAGCCATGTACAAATACAATTTTTAACACATATATAACTAGGCCGTGGAACTCATCTCTTTTTGTCAAATTAACATCCGCATGAAACTTTTTGAATGGCTTCATCTTATCATAACCTGCAAATTTTTTATCTACAAAAATTCTCAGAAATGCGGAATTTCCTCATTAAATTAATGATGTACTAATAAAAGCTCATAAATAATCATTTACTTTTCACTTGAATTGTAAGATAATTTGATCAAAAAATCGAGAAAGAAGATTTGCCTGTCAAACATTGTTATTTTGATACATAGGGAGTGGTCATGTCAAACGTTTCAATGTTTTTGTAGGTCACTTTTTTTCTCGATTTTGTTGTCAAACTATCTTATCAATTAAATGGAAAGTAAATGAGTGTTCACGAGTTTTTAGTACCTAATTAAATAAACAATGTTTGCCAATATCTAGATTGAAAAGCCCCGATTCCGAGAATTTTCATAAATAAAAAATCTGGTCACACAACTTTCACTTACTCTTTGAACTTTGAATAAAAATTATTTTCTGGCCATGTTAGGCTATTATAAAATGTTTGAAATTGCATTTTAAACTGAGCTAAAGCTAAAAAAACACAAATGCTATTAAAATAACAAAAGTCCTATTTATTATATCACCGGTTGATTATGGATTGTACGATTCGTTGATTATGGATTGTTCGATCCATTGATTATGGATTGTACGACTATAAGTTATTAAACTGTTATTTTCCATTGCAGCAAAGTTTATTAAAACGGAATTAAGAGATTTGCAGTGTCTGTCATAGACAGGTCAAAAGTTGTCACACTAATTGTAAGTGGATTCTGTTTGAATATCGCAAAAAGAAGAATTATCAAACTATTCACTAATTTAATTTTCTAAAAGGTTACATGATGATTTTTCGGAATAAACGGACGATAGATATCTAAATATTTAAATATATAATGAGATCTAGAGTTATTAAACTACAGTAAATATATTTAGGATTATAAATGTATCTATGAAATATTTTTGTATTTCACTTCTTTTTTCACACAAGTACAATGAAATGGTAGAGGAATATCACAAAGAGAAGATCTATCGAATTAATCACTAATTTAGTTTTCTAAAAAGTTATATGACAATATTTTGGAATTAACTTTAATACCTAATTATTTATAGAGAAATACTTTATTAAAAGTAATGCTGCCCTACTACACAGGGTTGCTTCTTACACAGCATACTTATCAATCCATACGGACATTAATTTTATATTATATTTTTCTTCTTTTTTTTCTCCCCCTTCATAACAATACTCTTACAAATTATCAACAATAAGTCATATTAAACAATGGACATAGCATAATAAACACTTTCCCAAAATAAAAAAAAATTCTCTCAAAAATAAAAAAAAAATTTTTCTCTTTAAAATCTCAAACGCCAGGAACGCAATATAACATCGCACACATATATAACACAGCAATTCCTTGAATGTAGCCAAAAAGATAAGACGATTATGGACCAATTTAAAATTTAATAAATAAATACTAAACTACAGTAAATGTATTTAATATTCACTGTCTTTGGTTGAAGCTGGATGTGGAGGGTTTCAGAAATGAGTCGTTTGTCATGGTTGAGAACTGTGGCAAGGATGGATGTTTTGTCGAAATCAAATGAATGATTGAGGGAGAGAGAATGTTCGGATAATTTGGAAGCGGTAAAATTACGAGAGGATACAGAATATTTATGTTGGGTTATGCGGTCTTTTAGGAGATTTTTGGTTTCACCAATATAGGATGAAAAATAAATTGGGGGTAGAACATGGAATACGGTAAACGATATGAGAGCGGTGTGAGAGAGGAACCGGATCTTTTAGGGATGTGTATAGTTTTGAGAGAGTGTTGTGAGATTTGAATGCAAGTCGTAAGTTAGGGTTAGTATTTAATATTATTATTAGTATTTAATATTAAATGTATTTAAAATATTATAAACACAAGATTTATACATCCATGAAATGATTTTATATTTTATTTCTTCTTTCACACAAGTACATTGAAATAGTTTTTTTAACAATGCCATCAACTTGCTTAGGTGGATTTTAAATACATTTTAAAAAAATTAGCATTACCTTAACACATTCAAAATTCAAAAACCGAAACAAAGGATATAACCATTGCAGCAAACCGTATTAAAAAAAAACTAGAGACCATACCACAACCACAACCGTTTTGTGTTGTCTTATCTCCTAATTATCCGATTTTAACGATTTTTTTTTTGTTATTTAGGCTATTCCATAAACCTTTAGAAAACCATATACAACATTCCCAAAAAAGTGTATACCTTTTTGAGTTATTCGGAATTTAATTTTACCATCCCTCGTAACTTTTTTTCAGATTCTTTTCGCTGATGAATGTTATATAGATAAATTTGAAGGGTGTCGAGAAAATGACTTTAGCGAAGTTTCAATGAAATCGGTACATTCGTTTAGGCGCTACAGTCTATAGCTACGTTTTTCTGCATTTTTATTTTTTTTCTCCTTTATTAACTTATCAAATTCTTTCAAAAGTTATATTTAGCATTTTTTCGTAACTCTGAATAATGTGAAATAATTATCTTTTTAAAATAAACCATATTAAAGGTACTTTAGAGGAAGACGTATATGAACATTGGGCATTTAAGCCCTGTAAAGTGACATCAATGGGGATAAGACCTAATTTATATTAAAGACCACTTAATTATACAATGATACACTGAGTTTAATCAAAATCGTTAGAGCCGTTTTTGAGAAAACTGTGAAAATGTGTTTCAGCGTTGATATAAAGTGGCACTTCCGGTTAGCCGATTTTAAGGAAAAAGTTGCCGTCACAACTAAGGCATATACCTATCTTAAATACGTGATATCAGTTTCATAGGACTTTTCGTTTTTGAGCTAGACTGCTAACATACAAACACACAGACCATTTGTCGGGACTTGGTCATTTCGACTAAGGGTACCTCAAAACGTATAAATCCGTCGAAAACTCAGATTCAAAAATTTTCTCGATCGCAATACTTACACTTACTATATATTACATATATACATAAGTGAAAGTAAAAAGTTGTAAGTTATCATGAGATAAAGCTAAATTTTAGGCAGATATTAATAATTTGATAAAAAAAGTGTTTATACCGTGGACTATATGAAATAGTTTTCATTGTGTCTACCTATCCACTTTGTTACTTAAGGTATCTTTCTACTTATTACTTTAATTTTTTACTTATTATACTTACTACTATTTTACTCTTTGCCTTTCCAGTACTTACCTAATTTGGCGCCAACAACGGGGGATGAGATAACCCTACTTGAATTATAAGTCATAGGAAATAAATTTGTGTTATCAAACATCCCAACTATTAACTCTTGCACTGTCGCTGGTTTTCCTTGTCTTTCTAATTGATGAAATAATGATGCTGGTATCTGTATGGAAGCCTCTAAAATCTGAGAAACAATTATAACAACTTAGAACACTAAGCCCACTCAGACAAAATATAAAATTTTAATATATAGTTATTTTGAATACCTTATCATGAGTAAGTAGAACACCACTTTTGTTACTTTTTGAACAATGGCAAATTCTATCACCAGGTTTTTTTTCTCGACTGTTCCACCAACTACAAGTCAAACCCAAAAAGCTTTCTCTATAAATTTTAAATTCATCAACAGCCATATTCCACTAAAAAAATAAATAAAAATAAAAATATTATTTTTAGAAGTAATTTCAATTTTTTTAATAGATAAAACGTGGGTAAGGAAAAGCCAAACCAATTATAAATTGAATAACAAAAATACTTAAATCTGAGTTTAAAAAGTACATACCTTACAAGATTGTAGTGATGTATGAGGTATTATAGTTTCTATAGCCTCTAAAAGTTTTGAACAAGATTTATCCTCCAATTGTGCCAACGATAATAATTCTTTATCAAAGTCCATTAAAAAACTAATTAAATCTAACAGAAGAGAACCCAACTAAAATCATTAAAAAAAAAATACATAAACATTAAATAATAACATTTTAAGAAAAAAATCATGAACAGAAACATTAACAAACATGAATAAATAATTACATTTTTTTCTTCATTTAAGAATTCCAAATACTTTCTAACTGTTCGGGTAACAAACACTATATCCATCATATCAGTAAACAAGTGCTTGTTTTCGATGGTATAATTGTTGAGTCTTTTGGCACTTTCATATATAGTGTCTCTTGCCTTGGTTAAATTCATCTGAAAAACAAGAATAGTTATACAAATATTTGCAAGAATTGATAATAATATTGGAAAGGGACAGTTTGAAAAGTGATACTGATACTTATTAGTGAAAATTTCTTCTACTGAAAAGTTTTAAATCAAGCTAACAATATAAATCAGAAAATTAAATGACAGAAAGTATCTTACTTATTTAAATTTCAAAAACTGAGATTGATATATACGAGCCTTGACAGAATGAATAAATCCAATTTCAACATTTTTTATTATTAATTTTAGTGATATTTCAAATGGAAAAATGTATACCTTTATTCACATTTCAACACTGCAATCACCAACTCTGGAATCAACTTACTCACTGTCTCTAAAGATATTAGAAATTTTCAAACTAGAAATATCACTAAAATTACTTTAATAAAAAATGTTAAAATTGGAGTTAGTCATCCTGTCAATTTAAAGGCTCACATATAGCTCGATTAACTTTGTTTTCATAACAACCATAGAAATAAAATCTTGTTTCATTCAGAAATAATAAATGTAGTTGGATTGCAACATTTTTAGTGCTAATTAAATTGTCAAAATATTTCACAAAAATCTTTAGTTTTTCCCTAGAAGAAAGAACCAGAATAAAGGAATAAAGAACCAGCATTTATTCTTAACTAATAATCTCATCACATTTGTTTCTAATAAAATTGAACAAGCAACATTGAAAAAAAAAAAAGGATGATTAAATAAGAAAAGAAAAAATTAACTTACTTGAGCAAATTGTTGCAATATCCGAGTAGTTTCACTTGTGTACGGGCAGACAGAAGTATTGAGGTTCTGCCATTCACCCTCTAGAGTGCAGTTATTTCTCACTATACCTAACCCTATTTCAGCCTGGCAAGGGAGTTCTACAACGTGACCAGCAACAGTTTTGGGCCAAACATAACGACCTTTGTTATCTTGAGTCACTAAAAATCCATTTATAATTAATAATTAATTTAAATAATCTAATTTAATTTAAATGAAGAAAAGATGAAATAAATGTACACTCTATCTCAACGTGGAAATTATGAGAGTTACTATCCTGTTGTTCGAAAGAGTTCAATCGTTCATCTTTCTAGAAACCCAAATGAACTCTCAAAATAATATAGAGAAAAGAATACTAAAGTGCATATTTTTAGCGGACCGCACATATTTCACCCTCCAAAAGCACTTAAGACGTAATACATTATGCAGGGATGCAAAAATAAGAATTTATGACACTTATTTGATCGATTCTTAAGTACGGTTCAGAATGTTGGATAGTGATTAAATCCCAGGAACAGGTCCTTCTCAGATTCGAGACGAAGGAGTTAAGAAGAATATACGATGGAGTTTATGAACAAGGCACATGGGGAAGGATGAATAGTGCCGAATTAAGAGTCGTACATGGAGATCTTGATGTATGCACCTTAATTAACTTAACAAGGCTTCATTGTGCAGGTCATGTTGTCAGGATGGAACCAAATGAAATCACACATAAAATCTTTTCAGAATGTCTAAATGGCACAAGAAACGACGTCCTAAGCTTTGTTAGAAGGATGGCATGGCTACTGGCGCAAGGTTTCTGCTTGTTATCCAGAACTGGAAGGTAGCAGCAAAAAATAGAGAGAAATAGTGATCTATAATAGAGCAGGGATTTGACTCAAAGAGGGTCATAACGCCATCTAATAATAACAATCTAATTAACAACCACCAAATTTGGGCACCCAAAGGCAAATTTTTTTTTTTGTTTTAACTTTTAGCAATAAAACGTATGGTTCAATATAGTTTTAAAAAAAATAATAATAAATAAAAAACATTTAAGGAGTTGTCGGGAGTGCCGTCAAATTAAATGCTATAATTATAATTTTATGACTGCCACCCCGGACCATCTCCTTCCTTTATAATGCAATAGTCAACTATTAAATATTCAATATAATTATAATAGTTGTAATTTATTATCTAATATATTATTTCTAAAAGCGTTTTTTTTTTTTTTATCTCAATGCCACAACTTCATTAATTCCCCATCAAATCCAATGATTGAACACTCATTTTAAAGATCTTCTTTACCTTCAGGTGGGAATAATAGTCACATCTCCCCGAAATTCAAGTTAAAAAAGTTATGAAGGACTTTTTTTTATTAAAGGAAGGAAGGAATAACTTTTTATTAGTTATGAAGAAAACAAACTTTATTTATTTGCAAATAACTAAAAAATTATGCATTTTGTCTTGATTGTAACCATAATTAGAAAGATTACTAAATTACCTATAAAATAAAAAAAAAATCGGACAATTATTAACAAAGATACAGTCCATTAATTTTGGTATACTTAATCATTTCTAGCTTTTCAAAGACTGCATTTACTACTCTACTGTCCTTTTTTTCTAGGCTGATAAGTACTATATTATTTCTTAAAGGCTTTTTTTGTTCGTACATTTTTTATGATTTTATAATTTAGAAGATCCCATGATCGAGGCTCTATTTTGGATATTACCTTTCCAGTCAGTGTTTGAAAATAGGACCTAGCAAAGCTATTTATACAACTATTTTGGTCTATTATGATAAATGGAGTACTGTAATGAACCAAGGAAATTACAATTAATTCCTCCCTCATATAATACATAAGATCTACTTATTTCCTTGTTTTGCTATACCTTCAATAAACAAAATTTTATATGAATTATTAACAAGGAACAACTAGTTATTAAATATTTGTTATTATTGTTAATTTATTATGAATTTTGTGATTATTATTATTGTGATTCTTCCATTTTGTCAGTAATTTCTGGATTTTGTATTTAACAGGAAAGTCTTATTACAAATGACTAGATAACTCAGTCACAATAAATCAATGAATTGTCCCCACTGATGTCGTCTTATAAGTTCTGTTAAGGTATTTTACAGTTAAAACAGTTATCAGAAGGCCTCGACAGAGCGTAGTTCAATTTAGGAGTAAGATGACAAAGTGGATGAAGGAAAATGAGTAGACAGGATGATCTCAAGTGTCAGGCGGATCAGCACCCAAATCATTTTTGATCTGCGTTGTAAGGGATCAACCTTAACACTTCACAGGAACGGAAGCCACAAACGGAGAGATCAACTTCCTGACTTAGTATTTGGGAATACAAGCGGACGGATCAGCATCCAGACCTTGTATGGAGAATGAGAATAAGAAAAATGCTATAGGACATAATAAAAGAAAAGACAGTTAGATATAAAACCAAAAAGTGTATGTAAATCATATAGTGATCTAACTGGTTGCAAGGTTTCTTTCAGAATTCCAAGGCTGAGGGCTAGAATTTAGCCCTTAATAATAATTTATTATTAATTATAAATATATAATATAAATTTATTATAAACTCCTTCTCAAATTACAATAATGGTTAACCATCTCCACACAAAAAACATTTTAATTAACATAATTAATTAAAAAAACATTTAATTAAAAATTGATCTAGTGGACTGAGAATAGGAAAATGTGATTCTTCCATTTTTTCAGCCATATCTTAGCTTTCCAAAATTTTGTAGATAAAAGGAAAGCCTCATGACTAATGGCTTAGTGACTCAGCCACAATATATCAATGAATTGTCCCAATAAAGCAATGAAAATTGACAAGTAAAGGTTTATTCAACTATAATAAGATTCTGTTAAATAGAAAATATTTCAGTAAAGTGATTGTGCCATTTATCTGTGGTTAATCAGATTCATGAATTTATTGATTCTTTAACATATACAATCAGCAATACTACCAAATGCTCTACAGATGATTTATTTAAGACTTACCAATAGGTTTGCAGTATTTGGTTGAATTGGAGATAACTATGACAGAGACGGTACTCGAATGGTTTCCTTCATTAGAGAATAGCTCACAATTCCATTCACCAGTATGATTATTTTCTAATTTATCAATAATCAGCGTGCTGAAAATATCACCAATTAAGACAAATTATAACAAGATGACATTGTAGTATTAAAAGCATGGATACGTTAAGAACAGAAATAACGATTAAATCTTACAATTCTAATAAATAATAATTTATATCTTTGTTATTACTTGATCAAATCCAATGATTGAACTATCATTTTGAGACATATAAAAAATCAATCTTCTTAATCAACTAACTACATATTAAAATACTTAACAGCATCCCTAAAGTAGTAATGCACCGTTGGTTCAAATTTTGCTGCCTCAATTCAACAGTATAACTTCACAAAAAGGGTAATTTTGATAAATGTATGTATCTACAGCAACAAGGGTAAAATATATGCAGTTCAACACTATAATATCTCTAAAATTATAAAAAATGTATTTCAAAATTTTACACAACTGCATACATCTTGTCCTTATTGAGGATTGCCAAATATAGGTATATTTTTTCTTTAACTGAAAGGCTCATATGAAATAATAAAAAATTTTGAAGCCAAGTTTTCAAAAGAATCCGTCTTAAGGTTCCCTGTCATGTCATACATGTCTTAGCCACAGTCCAAATAGCCAAGTCTCGTAAAATGGTCTCTGTGTGAGTGTGCGTCTGTGAACAACTTAACTTAGCTCAAACACGAAAAGATATATGTAACTGAAATTACTTATTCAAGGTATATGTTACAGTAACTTTTTCATCAAAATTTGTGAATCAACAAAAAGTGATACTTTATGTCATTGTTTCCATAATTTTTTTTTAATAGTACCGAGAGCGAACCTGAAAATTAAATTACCTTTCAATAATTCCAGAAGAATCTGTATTAATGATATTGAACTGTTTATTCTCAACATGAACTGAATTGGTGAAAACAGTTTCTGGAAGGAGGCCAGCCCAATACCAAACAACTTTCGATTCATGATTTCCCAATCCAGAACGACAATCCATGCGTAGTGAGTCCCCTTCAAATACAACCTATAAAACATTCAATTATCTGCAGGTTCATACTAATTTTTATAAAAATGAATTTCAGAGAAAATATACATACTATGTTAATTAATTTGTCTGCTCGCCCTCAAATTAATTTTATAATTATGATGTAAACAAATGCAAATACCTGGTCATGATCTGGTGAAAGTTCAATTATAGGTGAGTTTTCTTGGCGCACGCACTGAGCAGAAGTTTGGAACTTTTTTATCGGTTGGTCTCTTAAGCTCAGCGGTTCAGAACATTTGGTATTTAATGATATTTTAACATTTGAGTTTGCTGCCCAAGATCCAATCCACCATAATTCACAATCACAAACTAAAGGGTTAAAAGACAAGTCTCTGGCAACAGAAAAACCAGATATATAATTTAAATAAATAAATTTTCATATTAATAATAATATAAAATAATAAGCTAGCAATAATAAAACATCATTTTTGGTGTTAGATCTTTTCATCTTTAAGGCTAAGAATTCTAAATTGGTTAATATTGAAACATCTGGTTTAGCATTTCCTGAAACTTGTAAAAAAAGTTTTCTGCTATGACTCTGAAATAACAACTATATATCCTAAACATTTAGTTATAAACAGGTTTGTAGTTTAGAACAGTGGTTCTCAACCTTTGTTTGTACTGTTGTAGGGATAAAAAATCTTTGCAACAATTTTAGTACAGACTAAAATATTTCCTGGCAACCTTGTCAAAAGACAAAACAATATATATATTAGCATTTTTGTTTAAAACTGTGATATAATTGAATCTTTACCCATTTTGAATGCAATTAGTATAAACCAAATAAATTTTGGTGTGATATAATATGATCTTCAATTTGACTGATTTTAATTTTGTTATTAATAACTATAATAATATATGAAGTTTTAGTCAGTCTATTCATCAAATAGACAAATTTTATCTAAAATATAATTGCAGCTGGCACTAATATTTAAATTATGTAAGTAAATCTAGTTGAAGAATCCCTACTTTAAAACAGTAAAGGGGCCAAAGAAATATGAGATGAGAATGATCGAACATTTACTAAAAATTGTTCTTCTGGAGAGGATATTTAACTTCTTTAATGGTTGATACAGTACTAGTTCACCACAGTTCCGCACGGATTACGCGTGGTTCACAATCACTTTGGTCACACTTGTTCATGGAGTGCTGAATATGTTCGCGTTTATCCGAAAGAGAACGAAAGCGACAAATCTCTTGAGTCAATTACTATTTACTTTCCCGCCATTTAAGTTCTTCTATATTCTTAACCATGTTCAGTTATACAGCAGGAGTCGACATATTACAATTTACGGCTACATTATGTAACCTTAATCGAACTTGTACATGTATTATATAGCTGTGGAAAATCAATAGTAATAGATAAAAACCTTTAATTATTATATATAAATTCTATTTCATGATATTTATTTGTCTTATTAATGATTTATAATATTCATTATCTCATAATTATCAGATATTTTTCGTCAGTTGTTTCCCCAATACGTTAATTCCTTCATCAAAAATAAACATCCATATAAAGATTTTTTTTTTTCGAATGACTACAATAAGGCCCCATTTTTGGATTAGGAAGCAAAATAACTTCGAATAACAATAATTATGCAGCTAATTCATTCAATAAAAATAACAGCGATTAAAATGAGAGAATAAATTATAAGTTAACAGTATAGTCCATCTAACTGGCAGATCTACGGGCTCTGTTGGGGTTGGGCATTATTTAAATAAATATTTATCTAGATAACGATTAATAGATACATTTTATTCATTATTTAATGGGTTTTTACAGATGATTTCTTGGTTATTCATTAGTTACAGCTGAATGATCTATTATTCTCAAACATCATTTTATATATTTTCTTTATTTTTCTTCCAGAGCAATTATCGTTAAAATAAAAATTAATTATTAACAAATTACTAAATATATAATTCTTACTAAATAATGAAAATAAATTACTAAATAATGAATTGTTAATAAGGAAGTTTTATGATGGGAATACGATGGTTTTTCAAAAATGCATGAAAAGGTATTGTATGGTGAGGACAATAGCTGACGTCATAAAAGACAGCAACATTCGGCTGTTTTCGGGATTCCAAGAACAAGTGTGACTGAAGTGATTGTGAAACACTCATAACTCATGTGAACTAGTAACATCGATACTATATGTCCTATGTTACATCATTTAAAAGTTAAAAAACAAGGAATGAGATAAAATAGTATGGATCTAGAATTGAAATATATTCTATATTAACATATTATTTTTGAAAATACTTACAGTTGTTTTAATGAAAGTAAAAAATCAAATGTGCCTTCTTTAATGTGCCTAATATAATTTTGTGCAAGTTTCCTGAAACATAAAATAATAAAAATTGTTAATGAAAATACTATGAATATAATATATCATAAAAAATAACTTTAAAGTTACTAACAATTTTTCCAGATTAATAAGTCCCTCAAAAGTTTCTCTACCTATGTTGCGAATTTGGTTGTTAGAGAGATCACTAGAAAGAAGACAAAATATTAATCATAATGTATTATATAATATTATAAATATAATAAGTAATTATAAAATACTATTACCATAATACAGTATTTATATTAAACATCTGTCTGTTGCCAGATTAAAATTTAGTGGACAAGTAATAATAATCAAATTTAAACGTATCATATCACCAAAATGAGTGAATTACAACATACCGACAATTGATAATCTTACAGAAATAAAGAGAAACATCCATAAGGCAGGAAACTTTGCATTTTATGGCTAGATGTTTTTTAACACTAGGTTTAAGGGTGTGATACATGTTTACATATTTTACACAATAAAATATGTCATTTATATTGAGGTTAAAATATGATTCAGCAAATCTTTATTTTATGAATTTATGAGGGAAGGAGTATCATCTAAGCTTATAAGGTCACTGATTTGGTCAAATAGAAATCTGTATTTAGAATAATCCATGACAATTTTCAATGTTTTCTTCTACCAACAAATGAACAATAATCGGGTTGTGTGCAGTACAGAAGAAAAGGACAGAGAAAATAACTATGAAGGATAGGGAATCATGCAGAATGATTGGGTTCATGAGTGTTAAATTTAATAAGCAATAATGTCATAAGTGTAGATGTGAACAATCTATTTCCAAATCACTATCAGTTACATTATCACCCCTAAAAGTGTTCAAATTCTAAATTATCAATTAGTGTAGAGAGGGTAAGAGAGTGAATATTTTTTAAATTGGGCGTTGGATTTCGGTAATAGGATAAACCCAACTTCATTCCCAGTATAATTAATTGTATTAGTTAAAGAGGGAAACAAATTAAATATCTTTAGATCACTAATAATAATAATAATAATAAAGCACTAGCCACATGGTTATAACAGCTGACTAGTTTACAAGTGTACCAGTACCAGGTCTGGTTGACAATTAGATCAAGACTGAACAGACAGCGGATGAAATTCTGAAAATAGCTGTCTTGACAACTATGTTCATGAGTGAACTCGCTCAAGATATGCATAAACCACCAACCACTCATATTCACCTGATGTCATCAGCTTACCAGAAATTGGCGGCTTCTGTACAGTTTAAACACACTAACCTAATAACAGTTATGGTGCTATTTTTACAAGTGTTGCTACACTTTGATGGGTAGGCACAAGATCTCATAAATAACATTGCAAGAATGACCAAGTATATTAAAGGTGATAACCTCTCTTTATTTAGATGATGATTTGCGACTTCCGTTAACTCCCCTTCCACTAACTGGCCTTTTTTAGTTAAAAATGATGTCTTAATTCATTACAATCAATCGAAAGGGATACACGAACCCCCAACAGGTCCTGTTAAGTTGAGGCAGGGGCCATACCAGAAGGTTCTGTCACCTCTGTCCACTTTAAGATATGCTCAGTCCTAATTCTGAGATTTACGTTTAAATTGTGATCATGAGATCTTGTGCCTGCCTTTCAAAATGGAGCAACGCTTGTAATCTAATGAAACAGGATACTCTGTACAATTCAATTGATAAGAAATTGATCCACCTGTCAGCCAAATGACATTATAATTGAACTTGTAAATATAATCAAATACATAAATTGTATGAATTTCTAATTAGAAAAACCGGTGATACGTACAGCCTTTTGAGCGAAGATAAATTCAAGAATGCACCATCATCAATTCTGGTAATTTGATTTTTATTTAAATGCCTGAAAAAGGAAAATAAATAAATTAATCAATTATTGGTTAATTATAACATCAAAATTTAAAACTTAAAAATTATTACAGCTTTTGGAGATCTTGCATCCACAACATTGTATAAGGTAGCTCAGTGATATTGTTAGATGACAAATCACTAAAACAAAGGAAAATTATTGTTTTTACATGAAAATTGAGAAAAGCCAGCCTTGATATAAAACTTACAGAGTAACTAAATCAGAAAGATTTCCGTTTTGGTTTAACTGGATTTCTTCTATACTAGAAATAATAGTCTCTCCTCCACCACACTTAGCTTTAAATTTCTCATGATCAGTTGGATGATCCTTTGCATGAGATTCTGTGCAAATACATTTTGAGGGGCAAGAAACATCATAACTACTTGTGTATGTAAACAATGACAGAAAAACTATGAACTTCATATGGTAATAAACATTGCACAAGACTTTAGATTCCATCGTTAACGATATTTATTTAATTAAAATCAATCTCATACATTAGAGAAACGTCTCCGATAAGAAAGAGATATGACAAACATAAAAACACAACGTAACTTTAAACAACATAAATATTCATCATGAGCTATCATAATTTTTAAGTAACATGGAATAAGTCCATTCAAAGTAAAACGCCCATCACGATAGTGATATAGTGAATAAAAACCATTTTAATATACAACTCAAATTGTTTAAATCCAACCAATACATTTCAAATAAAACTAGTGTTTATGAAACCATCAGTGTTACCTACTCAAATAAATAAATTTAACCTGTGTTTTAATTGGATACAAACTTAGAAAAGGAAAAAGATAAAAAATATAAATGAATAAGTTGTTATATTTTAAAATCTATATCTACTATATTAAAAAAAATTTAGATCCCAGTTTTTTTATGGAAGCCAAAGAAATCTAAATGATGAAGGAATGGGATGGAGGAAAGCGCCCGGTTCAGTGGTTTATGTGTTCAATTTAATCAGGAGTGATATAAAACTCTTTTATTTTTAATTTATTGGTTGTTTGGAATTCTTGAAATCTTTACCCAAGTCATAAAATGTATTAAAATCTGCATGCATACAACCACGGATTAGCGATATTATGAATCAGTTTTTATCTTGACAGGTAATTAGCCCGGTGTTAGATATCCAGATAGATATCCCTTATATATATATATATATATATATATATATATATATATATATATATATATATATATATATATGCGGCTTGTAAGTCCAGGAGTCATATTTTAGTTAATTCCCCAAAGAGAGATTTCCCATGCGCTCGCAAGCGGTCAGACTTCGCCGCACCCAAATCTAGCCACTCGATTGGAAAAAGCACAGTAATACAAGTCAAGAAAAAAATGATTAATTTCCTAAACGTAAGATTTAATGCTGTGCAAGCTATTTTCCGAATATTTTACTTTCTTGCCAATACTTAATAAGAGAAAAATTGTAATCCAGTCCAATTTTCAAAGATCAGTTTTCAACAGCTTTTTACGTATCAGAACCCCCTTTCCTCCCGAATCCAAAACACAAATTTTTAGTCATTGGTCTATATTTGCAACGAATATCAATTGAACTCGTGGCCGAATCTTTGTTTAAGGACTCCGGCCCCCAATCCTTGTGAACTGAATCGAGCACCTTTGTGGGGAATATACAGATAAAACTAAAGTTATCCTCATTGGCTCCAGACACCTAATTAGTTCTCTTCCTTAACATCCTTTACTTTACCTCAATAACCGCCCTATATATTTCCTCACGAAAGTCAAAAACCTAGGAGTAATCTTTTATTAGAACCACTCCTGGAATAACAATGTATCTGGAATCCCAGATCACACGAAAATTCATAACTATCCTTAAACAATTCCTAATATTCCATGCTTCTATCCCTAGAAAAAACAGAAAGGCCTCTCTTGTTTTCTCCACTACACTTGTTTGGTGTATGGAGAACTGTCTGCTAGGGTGAAAATAAGATTGAATAGACTCATGAATTGCTTCATAAGATTTGTCTTTGGAATTCCCAGGCGTTCCCATGTTCCCGCTTATACACGGAGTGGCTCTATCGTACTTTTTGGGGGTTTTCTTTTTTAAGTCCTCTGAACCAAAAATCCTCCTATGGATGTATAGGTCTCTTCCCATATAACCACTTCCTTTAGCCAATTCTTAAGGGCTTTAGGGGTTTTCTTGCTTAAGCTTATTGTTGTTCTGTAATTACATTTAATAGGACTTCAAGAATCCCTTAAACGCCATTTCGTATTGGTAGTTAGTTATTTTCTTTTTCTTCTAGAGTAATTATCGTAATAAACATAAAAAAGAAAACTTTGGGACTGAAGCATCCCAAAATGAAATCCTGGATCTGCAAGTGATATTAACTAATGTACATATTTCTTGAACATTATTATTATTCTTAGGGGACTTTAGTCCCAGAATAAAATTATTTTTTATACATACATTCAATAATCGAAGAATGAATATTTCTATAGACTATCGATTTTGATAAAAGCTATGCTGGGTTAGTTTTCTCCTGTAAGTTTTTATATATGGAGTGCATCTCTGAGGAAATTCAGGAAAAAGTTATCAGAAAAAACAAATTTCATTTGACCATGACTCATTTTATGATACTAGGTAAGAAATGTATCGTAATGTGGTCAATTTTTTGATAAGCAGTTTCCAACAAACCTTTATGATTCAAACTTCCCTAAATCCAAACAAAAATATCAGTCATTTGTCTGTCTCTGCCAGGATTATATTTTGGGTGGATGGACCGGTTTTATAGCTTGCCTCTCCTTCCCCTCCCTACTAAGAAAATTTATTGTTCTCCTTTTCTTAAAGACGGTGCAAATGAAAATAAAATTATAAAGATTGTAGTATATTTTTTCCTTGATTTGAAACTTTCCCCAATTGATACCCCCTCAAAAAATGATTCCTTCCAAGCATTCATAACATCGTAAACATGTGCCCTATCTCAAAAATTTATATTGTAAAAATTTGCATCCCTCAACAACTTTGAAGCCGTAACTTGCGCCACTCGACTCTATTCTGGGTAATCCTGTGACCAGCAAAATCTGTGACTCCTGATGCAAATGAGTTAATGAGTCGAACATTGAAAATTTCAGTTTTCGCAATTGTATCAAATGCATGATAAAAACAACAAGTCTGCCTATTTTTAAGATTATGGTTCATCTAGGTAATGGGCTGGAATTTGTACAGATGACGGTATGAGGCAGTTTATTTATTTTTTTTCTTCTTTCCATTTACTCCTTACGAAGTAGACAATGTTATGGATCTAAGCAGTGGCTGCATAAAAAAAATAGCTCCCCTTGAACAATCACGTAATATTAGGAATTCCGGTGTCCCAGGGTATGACGTCATCTGTCCACAAAACATTTAATTTATCTCTTAGGCTGTTTTATATTATGTATTATTTGAATTTTGTTTCCATCGATATTTTTCTGACATATTTGTTTTATTAATAGCCTAAAATTAATTATTTTAATACGTCTATATATATATATTTTTTAATTTTTAACAAGTGGTGAGCTCCCTTGACGATCGGCTCCAGGTTTTCCGGCACTGTTTGAGTCTCCTCTTAATTTAGAGGAAAATAAGGCATAAGTGAAAGATATTACATATTATTATATATTTGATTTTTTATTCACGCAATGTGTTTCTAATTTAGTTTAAACAAATCTAATTTGTTAGGCAAAAATTGTCGTTTTTCGACCATATTCCTAGTAAATGCGATAACTTCGATAAGGCTCCACTCATCTACACAAAAATTAGTAAGAATTTAGGGATCTATAATACACACAAAGTGGCACAAACTAGACGGCCCCAAATAAATTAGGCTTGGAGATTATTTATTCCTTATAAAGCCATAAAATCCACAAGTTATTGATATGGTTTTAAAGAGCAATGATTGAGCTTTCCAACGGTTATTGTAGCGTCGACTTAGGAAAAAATACCGAGGAGTTATGAATATTTTAGTGAACGGCATGAAAAAAAATCCTCCCATAAAATTGAATCTAAAAAAGTATATTTTTTTATTACAAAGTAAACACATATTTAAGATTTTTAGTGGATCCTAAAAACGAATCTGAATCGATTTTTCATGACAAAAATTTATTTGACCTACTTTACTGGAAGTGCCTTTGGGTTTTTGTGATTTTTTATAGATTACAATTAGTTTAATACAATTAGCAATATGTTTTTCTTTATATAAAAAAAGAAATCGATTGATACATAATATCTTATATATCAATGCAAAGCAAAATTAGAAAACAGTAACATAAAAAACAATAAAATTTTATAAAACTTTTTTTTTTCACATTGGCAAGAACCCTTGGACATGGATGAAATATTTTTCGACCTAGTATCACCAATATTTTTCATTGAAATTGGTGAACCCACATCCGTAATCTACACTTTTAGTTTTAACATTTTTTCTTCACCATTTATTTTAGACGTTGAAACAGTTTCAGATGAGTTACTAAATGGAATAAATATATTTACAGAATGACACAGATTTAAGAAATCAATTACAAAATCATGATATTCCTATTTTGTATTAAAATTAAAGGATTATAGAAAAAATCCGACTTGTGTGATCATAAGCAAACCAAAAATAATGATACTTTTTGAAAGCTGTTATATTTCCAAACAATTATTTTTTCAAAAAAAACAAATAAACCTTTATATATATATATATATATATATATATATATATATATATAATATATTATATATATAATATATATATATATACATATTATATTTATTGATAATATAATAATATTAATAATATATTATCAATATTTTCATACGTTACATATTAAATATCAGTTTATATGTACATAAACAGCGTTTAGTTTCTCTGATGATGTAGCCTGTCTTTTGGGGGTGTTTCCCTACTTCTTTAAGCTCAAAAAATAGTCAATTTATAAGCTGGGAAACAAATTTTAGCATTAAAGGTAAGACAAGGGACGAAATCTAATTTAAATGACTGCGCGAGAAGGAAAGCACGAAGTTAAGATGAAAGCCGCAAGAGATCGCTGGAAAAATAGACAGTCGGTTCGTCCTAAAGACACTCCTCAGCCAAGTGGCTTTTTCATTAGGATCTGCAGGCGAAAAAGTTTGGAGATCTCTGGTTTAGAGGAAGAAATGATGTAGGGATGATCTATGTAACTTATCATTTGTTTATCTATACTTTGAACAAGAATGGTTTTTAAAATAATGATTCTACTGTATCCAAACAGCTTAAAAGAGACCCTGGCTGGCAGATCTCAGAGATTTATGCTGACATCTTATTAAATAAACGTATCTTGAATTTCTTTTTAAAATTTTGATTTGTTTTCCATTCTTTCAGTCATGAGCAATAATTTGTAAGTTGACTGTTATTTCAATGACAAAAGATTTCAAGCTCACCAAAAGGATGTCACATAAGTTTTTTTTACCAAAAAATAAAATAACCTGTAAAGGTTACTAAGACTCTCCGTTATATACTCCTGATTTCCTGCAAAATTGTCGTTCTGGGAGTTGGTCCACATCTAGTTTTCAATAATTTGAGCCATAATGACTAATACTGAACGACAGAATGGAATTCCGAAATTTAGTACAGATAAATCCATTTGATAATAATAATAATTATTAGGATAATTGTTTAAAATGTTTAGGCAACGCATATTATAAAAAGAAGAAACATTTTAAAGTACCATCCATTAACTAGAATTTAGAATCAGTAGT